GTTTTCTATGTGTAGGACTGCTTTAAGAATCTTTTGTAGGGCTGGTTTGGTGGAGATGTATTGTTTCAATTTTTCTTTGCTATGGAAGGTTTTTATTTGGCCTTCAGTTATGAAGGAGAGTTTAGCTGGGTACAGTATTCTTGGTTGATAGTTGTTTGTTTTTAGGGCATGGCATACATCATTCCAGGCTCTTCTTGCTTTGATTGTCTCTGCTGAGAAATCTGAGGTGATTCTAATTGGTTTCCCTTTGTAGGTGATTAACCTTTTCTCCCTGACAGCTTTAAGGATCTTTTCCTTGGTCTGAGTTGATCCTGTGTGGAGTATAATGTGACGGTGGGATGTCCTATTCTGGTCTGGTCTATTTGGGGTCCTAAAAGTTTCTTGTATCTGAATAGGCCTATCTTTTTGTATGTTTGGGAAGTTCTCTGCTAGAATCCTGTTAAACAAATTTCCTAGACCATTAACTTCTGTTTCTAGGTGCTCCTCTACACCCATTATCCTTAGATTAGGCTTTCTGATGGTTTCTTCCAAGTGTTGGATAGATCTATGATATTTCTTGGACTTGTCTTGGATGGTTGTATGTTCTTTCTCTATAATATCTAGGCTGTCTTCAATCCCTGAGATTCGGTCTTCTGCATGGTCTAACCTGCTGTCAAGACTCTCTACTTTGTTTTTTATCTCATTTCCTTCTAATTGGCCAGCTTTGATGGCTTCAAATTCTTTGTTGAAGTTCTGTTTTAGGTCTTGTATGAATTTCTTTATTTCCTTAATTTGATGTTCAGTGTTTATTCTTAAATCATTTAGTTGATTGGTTATGGTTTCTTTGGACTCCCATTCCTTCTGTTGGGTTCCATTCAGCATTCCCTCTGTGGTCTCCCTGACTTCCTTCAGCTCTTTGTTAATGGATTCCATGAATGCCTTTAGTGATCTTTGTGTATTCTCATCCTGCTCTCTCAATTCCTGTATTACTCTTTTATTAGCTTCCTCCCGTTCGCGGGATTCCTGCAGTTCTCTTTGAGTGTTCTCATCCTGCTCACGCAGATCCTGTATCAGTTTTTGAGTAGCTTCCTCACGTTTATGATATTCCTGTATATACTTTCGGGTTGCCTCCTCTCTCTCCCTATCACGCTCATACAGAGTCCTTTGTATGTTTTCAAACTTTTCATTTATCATGTTTGCCAGCAGTGTTTGTAGAGCTATTTGGGAACTCTCCTCTGGATTATTCATTATCTGTTCTGTCCCCTGATTATCAAGATTGGGAATTGAGATACCAGGATTTGCCATTTTTCTTGTGTTTTTCCGGCTTACTCTGCCCATTTGAGGTGGAAATAGCACCAGTTTTGTGCTAGAACACTATCTTAAGGCTACCATCAACCAAAGTATGAATTTGTACAGTCAATAGTCTACAGATACAATCTAGTTCAACAGATACATCTATTCAACATCAAACAACTATATGTTAATGGGCTTCGAACCGCAGAGAAGAATTTGGAAAACCAGAAATTATTAGGGTTAGGGAGAGATGTGAGTAAAAAATAGGAATAGATTGGTGTGGGGAGGCACAGGGAGAGTTAACTATGTCCTAATCTCAAAGCAGGAAATAGGTTGGGTAGGATGCAAGTAGAGAGAGAGAGGAAAAAGAAGAAAGGGAAAGGGAAATGAAAAGAGACCAGAAAAAATAGACAAGTAAAAATTAATGATATTACGGAGATTCAAGAACAATCTATTTAGAGAGGAACGTGAGTATATTGAGAGATTGGGGGGGACATAGAGGAGATGTGAAAGACTTAAAAAAATGCTTAAAATGTTATATAGGTATAAAGAGGTAGTACTGCTATTAAGGAATTTAAGTCTCAGAGGTTTGAATTGAGTAATAAATTTGTGGATTAAGTGTGTACACAATGGGGGATAGGGTCTACTAGTTAACTATGGGTTTGTCTGAGGATGTGCAGGACAAGAGTTAAGTCATAGAAAGAAGAACAAAGGAGAGGAAAAGGTGAAAAAGATAAGAAAGGGAGAATAAAAAGATCAGAAGTTCAGTAGAGCTAAACCAAAAACAAAAAGATAATTAAAAAAGAAGAAAAAAAAAAAGAGAAAGAAGACAAGAAAAGAAAGAAAAACACACCTTCACATCCCCCTAAAATAAAAATTATAAGAGGAAAAAAAAAAGTTACTGGAAAACTATTTTTTTTCAAAAAAGGCAAAAATTAAAGATTAATAAAAGTTTTAGAAAAGATAAAAAAATTTTTTTTTCTTATATATAAGGAACCAAAAAAAAAAAGAAAAAGAAGAAGAAGGAAGAAAAAAAAAAGTTCTTTGATTTTTTTGGGAGGGGTGGGAAAAATCCTGTATCTCCCTTGTGTCTGTAGCCAGCCTCTTGTTGGAGTCTTTGGTCTGCTTGAGGTCCTGTGGCTTGATTGGTTTCTTAAGTCAGATTGTTCGAACAGGCAGAAAAAAGCTCTGCTTTACCCAAGATTTTGAGATCCCCGTCCCAGGTTAGTTTAATGGGAGGGTGATCTGGTTTGAGAATCACAAAAGAGGGGAATGCAGTGATGAGACTAGGTTCTGGGTAGAGTTGAGGCCTTTCAACAAACAGTAGCTTTTCCCTGGGGCTATTTTGTGAAAACCTCACAGAACCCAGCCTGGAGCCATTCTCAGGGTTTCTGTTTTTCAATTGATTGTGGTGGCTGCTAGAGGGAGGGGCAGCCTCTGGCTCTGGTTACCCAGTGCGGAAAGCCACTCCTATGGCTGGCCCCCGAGCTGGGTGACTTTTCCCTGGATGGAGCTGAGTCTGGCAGGTCACTTTGCCATTAAGTTCTTGTGATCTGCTAAATGACTCGTTTTATTCCAAGGCCTGAGCTGGAGCTCGCAGCTCCGCGGAGCTTTGTTGGTATCCAAGATGGAGATCACCGGTGCTGGGGGGGGGGAGGGGTGGCCTTCCCTCCTCTGCTCCCTGAGAAGGAGTGAGGAAGTTGGGCTTCTACTCATACCGAGTCTTGGTTCCTGTGTCATCTCTGGTCCGCAAACTGCAGGATGAAGATGTCCGCTCCTTGTCGGTTCTTGCTGGTGTTGAGTAGAATCCGCTTGCCCGCTGTGTCTGGCTCCTTCGTCCCGGACTCTGTGGCTCAGTTATGGTGCCCTGCAGTCGCCGCCGTGACTGCTGCCTCCGCCGCGGCGGCTGCTGGCAAGTGCTCAGATGTGTCTCTTTGCCTTGATTTCCCCTCTCTTGCCTAAACCTCTGTCCTGTGATGGCACACTTGGTGTGGTTCTCTGGCTTAGGGCTGTTCACTGGAACTCTAAAACTGCTTTCTATGCGAGAGCTTGTTCAGATTCCAGCTTCTCCTCCACCATCTTCCTGGAACCTCCTTACTGTTTATTATTTAAATTATTAAATCTCTACTTCCTTAAATGTAAATACTTCTTTCTCATTCAGAACAATGATGTCTTTGGAACACAATTGTGCTAAAAAATAGGAAACACATTATAGGAAGTAACAGATAATGTACAATTAAATTAGCTTGGCTGTGTTCCAATAAAAATTCATTTATCACAAATGGATTTGAAGTTTAGGGCACTGCTCAAGTAGGAGGGCACCAAGTCCATTAGCTCAAATCTCAGGCCTTCCCCCTTAAAAAATGATGGGCTGGGAAGGTGGCTCAGTGGTAGAGCACTTGCCTTGCATGCATGAGGACCTGGGTTCAATTCCCCAGCACCACATAAACAAAAAGAAAAAAAGCCGGAAGTGGCACTGTGGCTCAAGTGGTAGAGCGCTAGCCTTGAGCCGAAGAGCTGAGGGACAGTGCCCAAGCCCAGAGTTCAGGCCTCATGACCGGACCCTCCCCCACCCAAAAAATGAGGGAAACAAATAAAGCCACCCATTTATATTGCATGCCTGTAATCTAGGTGTGTGAGAGGTATAGGTAGAAGGACTACAATCTGAGGCCAGCCCCAAATAACAACATGGGACCCAATCTGAAAAACAGAAACAAAAAGCTGGAGATATGACTCAAATGGTGGAGTACATGCCTAGCAAGCTGAGACCCTGAATTCAAATCCCAGTGCCACAAAAAAAGAAAATAAAAAATGAATTTAACCAGTGGGCAACAATTTTCTGATTCCTGATTTTATCAACAAAGCTCTCTGGTCTCTCCAGTGGCATTCTCTGGGTGGAGAGGTGGAGGGGCACAGAGAGAGGCCCAAAACTTCAGTGCTAGTTCAAGAAAGTAATTTGTAGTCACACTGCTGCAGAATGGGTATGTTAGGAGGTCATGGGGATGGTGTCTAAGAAACAGATGGAAACCCCGTGAGCAAGGACCTCAGATACTTTTAATAATACGGATTTATACCTGTAATGAATGGACACGGGAAAGAAAGGAGAGAGAGGCTGTGATATGAATCTCTCCCTGGATGTCTCTCTTTACCTCTATTTTGGTCGAGCTGCTCATAAATGATAAATTTATTAGTAGATCAGTTCTTGCCAGAATTTTGTTTGTAAGGAACCATCTTTTAATTTTGTAAAGCTTTACAAATTACATCGAATGCTTTATTTCTTAGAAAGACTTTCTACCCTATATTGTAAGGAACAGTGAGTCCTAGATTATATTTTACTCTATATTGTAAGGAACAGTGAGTTCTAGATTATGATATTTTAGCTTCATGTTTTATTCGCTAAAGTTTCAGAAATGGTTTAGGTTTTTCTTTTTCCTAGTAGTCTTCTTACTTTTACTATGATAGGCATTTAAGTTATTTGGATAATTACATTCCATTGCTTAACTATCTTGTTATTTTCATTGTGGCTATATTAAAACAAAGTAACTGGAGGAGAAGAGAAGGATGTAGAAGATGACATGGATCAAGATGCATTGTACATACAAATTGACATGTTGAAACCCCTTTGTTCACCTACTTTAAGATAATTTTTAAATGACATTAGGTCATCTGTATTCTTACTGAACAAGAAGAACTAAAAGAAAATTTCTTTAATTTTTTTTTTTTTTAAGATTTCATTTACTGAAGGACAGATGCTGTCCACGGTCACTCTGACTGTTCTTGCTGACGATTTGCCAGAGTTATCAGAAGTCGTGACAGTAACGCTCACAGATGTGACCACAGAAGGGGTTGAGGACCAGTCAAAAGGTGCTACGATTGATCAGAAAAGAAAGAAGTCTGTGATAACAACTCTTCCCAATGACTCCCCCCACGGTGTGGTGGGCTGGCATGCTAACTCACTGTTCACTAGAGTGACAGAGCCTATAGGTAAATTCTGTTGAATATCTATTTTAGGCATTAGTTAGAAGTTTCCGTAGTTAATTTACTTGTACTATTGGTAGGGACTACAGATTTCTCTTTGCAATTTGAATTTTTCAGTTTGACAGATCGTAGTCTTTGAATTGATCATTATGAAATCTTGGATCATGGGATCACTTAGCAATCAGGCTTTAATTTCTAAAGACACACTATCATAATAAACATGATAATAATTTAAGAGATTTTAGTAGAGATGTTTGCTTTTTTTCTTTCTCTTTTGAATCATTTCTTTAAAGTTCCCTTTCTGTAGATTTTCATATAGTTGTAGAGAATAGTATAGGGAATAGTAGGAGCACCATTTAACCTAAAGCATCAGAGTAATTTTATCCTGTATGGTAAACAGTGATCAGTCTTTACTGCCCTTCATTGCTGAACTCTTTTACCTAAACAATTGTTCATTTGGATTGTTGAATAAGTATAGTTTCCATAGGCAAAGGTCAATTGACTTATTTAAATTAAAGGTTGAATTTAAAATATTCCATTTGAAGTTTTAAAAATTTTTAGGTAATGCATAGACAATCCTTCTATCTAATGTATTATATTGCAAATGCTGAGGGAAGAAAGTGGCATGTGGTTACAACTCTGGACCTTCATAAATATCCATCTATGTGGAAAAATAAAAAATAGACTTACAACAGAATGATCTGTGTGTCTTCTGATTCAGTAAACATTTTTGAAACTTGTGTAATTGTCAGGAACTTTATTGTGAGTTTCTGAAGCTAAGATACAATATTTAATCTATAGAAACTCATAGACCAATGGAAGATGTTGACTGGCATTTTATATTTTATTCTTTATAATGACAGTTTAATGCATTGCACAATTTTAATTCTTTTTTTTTTTTTTTGTCGGTCGTGGAGCTTGAACTCTGAGCCTGGGCACTGTCCCTCAGCTCTTCAGCTCAAGGCTAGCACTCTATCACTGGAGCCACAGTACCACTTTGGTTTTCTGAGTGGTTTATTGGAGATAAGAGTTTCACGGTCTTTCCTGCCTGGGCTGGCTTTGAACTGAGATCCTCAGATCTCAGCCTCCTGAGTAGCTAGGATTACAGATGTGAGCCACTGGTGCCTGGAATAGGAAGATTTTTTTTTTTTTTGGGGGGTGGGGTTGGTCGTGGGGTCTGAACTCTAGGCCTGGGAGCTGTCCTTCAGCTCTTCCTCACAAAGCTATTGCTCTACCACTTGAGCCACAGCACCACTTCTGGCTTTTTCTGCTTATGTGGTGCTGAGGAATCAAAACCAGGGGCTCATGCATACAAGGCAATCATTCTACCACTAAGCCACATTCCCAGCCCAATTTTAATTCTTTATAAGGAATTAAATATTTTTAAATTCTAAAACGTTAAGTAAACAATATGTGTAGCAAAACACTTTTCAGATTATAATAGGCATCTCATTAGAGGGACAAAACCCCTCTTCTAATAATTAGTCATTAAATGATTATTATATGTATTTAGAAATTCATTTTCAAAGAATCTTCTGAGCATGTATAACGTGCACTTGCTGAGACTGTCTGTAATTCTGCTGAAGTGTGTGGTATGCATAGCCGAGGACCTGCATAGCAGAATCAGCAGGGACAGAAGAATGAGGTCAATGCTATAATGTGGTTTTCAGCACAGAGTACGGGACAAAGGAGGCAAAGCATAAAAGATCCATGGGAAAATACATTAGCTTTGTTTTACCTCTCTGCCTTAACTGTCTAAAAGGATAGTGCAGTTATTTCACCATGAGTGAGTGCTTGCAGCAGCCCTGACAGACAATAGAAAAGCATACTTACTTGAAGCGTACTTATCTCATAGAGAACATCACTGTGCTTCAGTTACGAGTTGCTCGAGATAGAGGTCTCCAAGGGGATATTGCTATTCACCTGATGGCTACACCCAATTTCTTACTGCATACCAATCATCAAGCTACTGAGAATGAGGATTATGTATTGCAAGAAACCATAATAATAATGAAAGAAAATATGAAAGAAACTCATGCCAAAGTTGCCATTTTGCCAGTAAGTACAGATTACAGGAAATATGGTATCAAGGGAAATTGCTATTAAATATAAAAATGTGATGCTCTTGTCTTGTAGGTAAAAGTCTTTTGTAAAACAGGACTCTCTTTTTTTAAACACAATTCTTTAAAATATAAAATTATGTACTTCATATACAATTTAATATTTAATAATGAATAAGTTAATATAACTGGCTAGTAAAAGGGCAACTGCATTGTTTATGTTTACTGAAGTCTTGGAACAACTTGAATTAACTTCAAGTTGTTTAATTTGAATTGATTGCATGTCTGATTGATTGACAATACTGTATATTGTTTAATTGATTTAAACTAGGAAATGAATGAATGAAATGATTCACTCAGTGTACTTTTTATTGCTTGATAGAAAGGCATTTTCATTTAATAATATAATTATATGAATCAGGGTTAATATTCAGATGGTTTATGTCTGAGTATGATGGGTTTTGCAATCTATATTTACTCAGTATGTGTATACATATACATATATATGTGTATGTCTATGTATACACACATACATATAAACCTATAACTACACATATACACGGAGAAAAATAGAAAAGCAGAGGGAGATATGTTCATTTATCATTTTATCTTGAAATGTTTATTACCTATTCAAAGATAAAGTGAAAAAATTAAATTAACTGAAGCATAAGATTATATCTAGATAACAAGTCCAGAGCTTTCACTTAAAAAAAAATATATATATATAAACTGATCAGTTTTTCCTAAATTTCCTTTGGGATATTATATATATAACACACATCCAGTAAGATGTGGCCAATATTGTAGGATAATTTTTAACTTATTTTATTTGTTAATGCTAGTGAAGTTTATTGAAACATTATTCTTATTCTTAAATATCTGAGAGATCCTGAAACTGACAGTGGGAAAGTATAAAAATATGATGAGGAATCTTTATGTATGATAGCAATGTCCATTCCAGTAGATGGTGACTTTTATTTACAGATGGAAAAATATCTGGCTTCTGTCAGAAATTAAATATCTTTCAAACACCTGCCTGACATGTTGGTATACACCTGTAGTCCCATCAGGCTGAAGTGGCAGGATCCCCAAAGCCCACTTTGATGCCAGAATGAACAATGTAGGCAGATTCTGCTATGTGAAAACAACATAGGAATCATCATCTTTATCCTGCTTCTCAGGATGATACTCCCGAGTTGGAGGAAGGCTTTATCGTCATTATAACTGATGTGAACCTGGTGAACTCCGACCTCTCTGCAGAGCAGCCTCGAGTGCAGAAGCCTCGCATGGAAATAGCTGAGATACTGATTGAAGAAAATGATGATCCCAGAGGAATTTTAAAGTTCCATGTTAACAGAGTAAGATGAACATACACATATTTGTAGCAACATGGGAGTTTCAACCTAGTGATTTATCCAGAAGCTTATATATTTTTTTCAAAAATAATTCGCTTTGTTTATATTTATAAATATACAAGTAATGAAAGCTGTGTTATTAGTTAGTCCGTAGTTCTTTTTGAGCTAGACCAAAGGATTAAGCAAGTTTATCTTTATTCAATTTTATAGTGAATGCTAAAAGAATGATCATTCATTTCTATGTGACTATTGCTTTCTGATTAGAAAATATAGCACAAAAGATACAAATGGGAACAATAAAGTTAGGATGTGAAGGTGTAGGAGGTTACACTTTTGTCTCACCTTTCAATTTTCATTCTTTATTGAAGGATATTGATGGTGTTATCACTGCCTATGAAGAGCCTCCTCCCTTCAATGTTCTTCGGGTTCCTGTGGTCCGGCTGGCAGGAAGCTATGGGTCACTAAATGTTTACTGGGAAGCAACACCAGACAGTGCCAGTCTGGAAGATTTTAAGCCATCTCATGGGACTCTTGAATTTGCAGAAGGCCAAGTAAGTTTATCGTGAACATAGTAGTGTTTTTGGTTGTCCTTCAAACATGTATATGCCTCTATCATATGAGTGTGCATAAATGATTACTAAATTCATTATACTTCATTTCTCTTCCAGGTCAAACGTGTTATTTAGTGAATGTAAGATCTATTAATGGTTATAGGAAAAGAATGCTTAAAGGCAATAATTTCATCATTTTTTCTGATTTTCCTTACCTGATTCCTTTTAAAATAGAAGATACAAAGCAGGATATGCACACATACACAGGCACATACACGTAAATATGTAAATACATGCATACATACATACATACACATATACATGCATAAAACCTGCCTGGTAAACTAGACTATTTCTATGGTTTTTAGTTACTTTTATTGTGCTTATTTTTTAGTATTTATAAATATGGATATTTAAAATTTCAAATTTACAGTTTGTTTCATATTTGTTAATTCATTCCTAAAAATGTTCTTTGTAATTTAAGAATCCATCCAAATAATAGAAAAGGAACTTTAAAACTATGTTCAAATATTAGAATATAATCTAAAGTTAGGAATAATAACCTAAAAAATTGCCAGACTTTCTCCAAGAATTTTGTGAACTAGGCATCTTTAAGTTTGTTGTTTTGTACCTGTCTTGGCTCTTGAACTCTGGACTGAGAACTGTCCCTGAAAGTTATTCATTCAAATCTGGCATGTGACCACTCGAGCCACAGTTCCATTTCTGGCTGTTTTTTCCTTTTTTTTCTTTTCTTTTCTTCTTTTTTTTTTTTTGGAAGTGGTTAATTGGAAATAAGAGTCTCACAAACTTTTCTGCCCAGAATGGTTTCAAACTTCGATCCTTAGATCTCAGCCTCCTAAATAGCTAGGATTACAGGCGTGAGCCACTGGCACCCAGCTATAAGCTGTTTTATTAAAATCTAATTAGTAAGTGGAAATACAGTGACCACTGGGAATAAATTAGAGGAGAAAAAAAGACAAAAGAAATAATTGGAAACAGTACACTAAAAAATAACAAAAAACCAACATAGATACTGACAAGTGAACTTAATCCTGGTATAAGCATCTAAGAACAGAAAAATTGGTATTTCTTCCTGCCTTTTTTCAAGGACAATATCTGAGGCCAATGTCATTTATTTCAATTAAAGAAATGATAACTTTATGCTTTCTTTTAACTAATGTAGTCAAACACATTAAGCTGTTTGTTTTACAATGACAGCTAGTGTAGCAGGGCAAAAAAAAGAATTTTTTGTGTGTCTGTAATTACACTATATTTATTACTTACATAATTTATTTTATCTTGACAATAACGTATTTTATAAATTTCTGATTTCTAAATACTACATATATATTACTTTAAAATTGTTGGGAATATAATAAGCACAACCTTTGTTTTTTTCTTTTGAAATATGTTTTTGATGTTTAAGCAATTAAATGTAGGTAAGAGGGAATTTTGTTATTTCATTGTTTGCTTTTTCTTTCCCTCTCTCCTTCACTCCTTCTTTTTCTTCTTTTCCCTTATAGGTTACTGCCATGATAGAAATCACCATAGTTGATGATGCTGAATTTGAACTCAGGGAGCTCTTCAGTATCTCGTTAACCAGTGTGGCTGGAGGCGGCAGACTTGGTGAAGATATTGTGGTTACGGTTGCTATTCCCCAGAATGACTCTCCATTTGGAATATTTGGATTTGAAGAAAAGACTGTGAGTTAAATCTGTCAGTGGAGTACTAGCTCAAGGAAATTTTTTTGGTATACTTTTATGTAGAAAAATGTCATTTAATTTTGTTTAGAAACTTCATCACCATTCATGTCTAAGTCCCTTTTAAAGAGTCTTTGGAATTGGCGACTGAGGTAGGGGCAAATCCCTAAGCTATTCAGAGTTGACAGTAATGAGAAGCATAACTATCAGGCAGTTTCCATGGGAACCAGATTCCTTTCAATGGGGTGTAATAGACCCTGAACACTTTTTTTTCCCCATGTCTCATTGATGACTAGCATCCTGGTCTCAAGGTGGATTTGATCATAAGCCTCAGTTTTGCATCAGTATGGTTTGTTGGTGAATTTGAATAATTTATATTACTCATTGTTCTCTCTGGTATTTATTGTAACTTTTATCAAACAAAACATGATGGGCACCTAGCTTGTGGATTTTTCCATAAATCTTTCCTTTTGTTTCTTATCAGCTATTTTCTTTCAAGATCTGACAGTGGACTCCCAAATATTTTAGCTTAATCCACTAGGGGGGAAAATAAAGCTTAATCAATCATGAGAATGGAATATTTGTGCAGCCTGGCTTGGCTGACCAGTACTGAACTGTCACTACACCTTCCACTTAAAGCAATTGAAACCCCATTATAATTACTTTTATGATTGTGTTATAACCAATACAACTTTACCCTTTGAAGGAATTTCAAAGATGAAAAGTCGTGAAAAATTTTAGATAATTTCCACATACTTGGCAACTCGTCTGTCTCCATATTCCACAATTATGTAGTGGAATGTATAATTCCCATTCTGTAGTTACTTTATCTGGATCCTTTTTGAAATACAAGACACTTCCTCTAATGCCTCTTCTCTACACTGTGCTATGGCTTTGAGTCTCAATTTACAATTTGTCTGTCATTGCTGAGCCTCTCAGATGCTCCAAAACTAAATGTAGCCTAATAATTGCTGAATGATTTAGTCGCTGAGATTTCAATTTCATGGGAAAATGTTAGCTTATAAGAGGGAAAGAGTATATTCATACTTAGCCCAGTCAAATGATTTTCTTTCCTTGGAAAAGAACTAAACAAAAATGTTTTTAAGGAGTAGTGAACTGCCCCAGGAGAAGCTATTGCCTACCTTTGGGGTTTGGGAGTGGAGGAAGAATATAAAGAGGGAGTAAATGTTTCTAATAATTTTATTATCCTCAGACAGACAGTATTCATATTTTTCATCACACTATTTCTTGGATATATACAATAGTTCTTTGCACATTTTATCACACAGCAGAATATAATTTAACTTTTAAAACATACCTTTGTTACTTTTTGAGCTTAGATGAAAAAAAATTAGTGGTTTAGCATTCGATTTAATCTTCCATTAGTGAAAGCTTGTAATAATGTTTTTACCTTGTACTTCATCACAGTTATAGGTTTAGATAAAGTGTTTGGGAAGTGTTTGTTAGTTTTATCTTCCTATGATAGAAAATGAACAGATATTCATAAATAACGATTTAACTGCTGTCATAAACTTTAATGCTCTAAACCTATTGTAAGGATGCTTGGGGACACTATTTTTTTAGATTGGCCTCAAATTTCTGATTTGTCTTAAGAGCTAAAAGGAAGATTTAGGTTAACCGCCCCTACTGAGTTGATTTGTAGAAAAATAATTATACTTTGGCTTTAAACTCTGCACATGTCAGTTGCTGCTTTAATTGCTGGTAATTTAGTTACTCAGCCCTTTGCTGTTGTTTTCCTTATATGCTGCCTTTCTTCTACCGAAGTTTCTTGATAATCTGGTATTTACATTTTAACCTTATGGTGTTTATACGTTAATTTATATTTTGATTTTGACTTTAAATAAATCATAAATAATTGTAGAGATAGTAAATTTCCATTAGCATCACTTAGTCACAGAGATTAAGTACGGAAGAATGAGATAGGATTGTTAATACAGACCTGTCAAAAATAATAAGCTGCTCATAAAAGCAACATTGCAGATTTGCCAAGACACTGAGAATCTGAGACCTAATCATTGACATGTGACTTCTGCACTAAAATATTGTATCCATAGAATCAGACTCTTGTGGACACTTCTTCACCCAATGCAACTCAGGCAATCAATTTCTTCTTTCTTGTGGGTCTAACTTCCTAGGTCCTGAGCACTTTGTTGTCACCGGACTAGTGGGAAAAGAGGAGAGCGGGGAAGGCTACAAGTAGGGTGGCAGCACACATCACCTCGGTGTATAATCTATGACAGATTTTAGTTGCGTACTCTACCTAATTGTGGGAGAGGAGGGAAAATGCTAAGTAGTTGAGTTTTCAGGAAAGAAAGGATATTAGGTTGGATGAAACATATTTTTTTGGTTGTGGGGTGTGAACTCTGGGCCTGGGCGCTGTCCCTCAGCTCTTCAGCTCAAGGCGAGCGCTCTACCACTTGAGCCATAGCCCCACGGTTTTCTGGTGGTTAATTGGAGAAAAGAGTCTCGCGGACTTTCCTGCCTGAGCTGGCTTGGAACAGCGATCCTCAGATCTCAGCCTCCCGAGTAGCTAGGATTTCAGGAGTGAGCCACCAGCGCCTGGCTAGTTTTGCTTGTTTCTTCAGTTATTATTCGTGTTAATTTCTTGAATATTTGCCTTACTGGATTTTATTTCTTTTAGGTAATGATTGATGAGTCCCTTTGGTCTGATGATCCTGACTCTTATGTGACGCTCACTGTTGTTCGGTCTCCTGGAGGAAAAGGAGCTGTGCGACTGCGCTGGATTGTGGATGAGAAGGCCAAGGACGACCTCCATCCTTTGAATGGGACCCTTGATTTTGATGAGGTACATGTAGCCCGAACCAGGAAAACAGAGAGAGATCGAGAGGGGGAGAGGAAGAGGGAAAGGGGGGGGCGAGAGAGAGAGAGACAGAGAGACAGAGACAGAGACAGAGAGACAGAGACAGAGAGACAGAGACAGAGAGAGACAGAGGAGAGAAAGAGAGAGAGAGAGAGCAACCTACATATTTGAAATGTTTAATAAATTTTTTTTCACATTTCCTCTCTAGATTGAGGGCAAAATCAGTCAGCCAAACGCCAAACCAGACAGCATGTGGTGTTACCTGCTTTCCATTTCACCCCAACTCTCTCCTTCTGTAGTCAGTGCATATGTCTGATCACCAAGCTTGGGACATTTTTCCCTTCAAATATGCTTGCTGCCTCTTCTGATTATTCTGATGCTGTGTCAAAATAGTGCTTTTTTTATACCACCATAACACAACGTCCTTGACAATCTCAAACTCAGAAAGATTCAGAATTATTAACATTCTTTTTCACTGATGAAATGATTGAGGTAGTACTTTAGCTGCCCCCCAAATGAATTAAAATACAATTTAAGAATGGAAAGGAGAAAACAGTTCATCTTGTGTGCGTCTCCACCTTCCACCATGAGAACAAGGAAGGGTTAGAAGGTCCCCTCCACTTTCAAGGACAATCTTATGGAAGGGTACTTGTAGGAATTCTGTAATTTCATTCTTGCAAAGTAGCACCCATCCTACACATTACATTTTGTGAAGTGGAAATCCAGAACTGAAGTAGAAGTAGGAAGAATTGCTGATGAGGACTGGAACACAGCAGCTGTGTGTGCTGGCATTTAGTGCAGCCCCTTGTGGTCACTGTTGTCCCTGAAATACGCATTAGATATTTATTGAACTCTCCATTACTACCATGGAATACCATGCAACTTTAGGAAATACTTAAAAATTTCACCTACTTTTTGGTTTCCAAAATGCAAAATAACTAACTGCTTACCCTAAGCCAAAGCTCATGCAGATTAAATAGTGTTTGCAAAAAACCCACACAACATCCTGACACTTCCAAAGTGCTCTTTAAAAAAAGCTGGCATTTACAAAAATTCAAATGAAAGAACAAGTTGCCACCTCAACTTTCTTTAGTGAAACTCAACCCCCTCTAAATTGCTTTAAGAGAAAAGCACTTTCCTGAAATAACACCCAATGGTACTCCTTGAATTGTTGCTTTATACTACTGTTGTGCAGAATAGTAACAAATGGTCAGAAATTTAAGTGAAAAAAATTGTATTCATAAATTTGGAAAGTCTTGATTGAATGAAATGAGATTTTTTGTGAATTAGTTTTTAGAGGCTTTGCAACTAAGTACATCTGAGTTTCTAGTAGAAGAGAGTTTCAGAGTATATTCCACTGTGAAATTTCTCTGTCACCTTCTTTAAAATTTATTTTGTATTATCTTTTAGTAGTTGTGCAAAGGAGCTGCCATGTAACACAGCAGCTTATGAATATAATTTATCTTGATTAACGTCACCCTTCATCATTCTCACCAGCCCTCTCCTGCTCACCCTTTCCTTCACTCTTCCTAATTTTATAATATAGACATTGGATTTTTTTTTTTTTTTTTGGGTCCGGTCATGGGGCCTGAACTCTGGGTCTGGGCGCTGTCCCTCAGCTCTTCAGCTCAAGGCTAACGCTCTACCACTTGAGCCACAGCGCCACTTCCGGCTTTTTTCTTTTTGCTTATGTGGTGCTGATGAATCGAACCCAGGGCCTCATGCAAGCAAGGCAAGTGCTCTACCACTGAGCTACCTTCCCAGCCCCGACATTGGATTCTTGATGGCATTCTCCACTTCTTCTCTTCTTCACTCCATCCCTTTTGAATGCCCACTACTTGGTGTTTTACTTTACTGAACTTTGACTTTGCCTTCCTAAGAAATTACATTATTTGAGTTCTTCCTTGAATCTACTGTATTTCAGTTAATTCATCTGTATCTACACAAATTGTGTATATATATGTATATACTACACAAAGTATTTACTTATAAGTTTATAAGCTAAATCTAGCTTCCACATATAAGGGAAAATATGTATTTTTTGTCTTTCTGGCTCTGACTTCTTAACATTATTTTTTCCCAGGTCTTTCATCTTTTAAATCCCAGAACATTCATTTATCGCTGTCTTTTGTGACAATGTCCCAAAACTATGGGCTGAAAATCTATTTGCACACACACTTTTCTCCTGTGACAAAAACATGAGGTCCAAAAAGAACCTTTATGTTATTGTTAGTAGGAATGTACATGGTCCAGCAATGATGGGAATCAATAGAGCTGATTCTCAACAAACTGGAAATAGAACTACCTTATGATCCAGCTGTAACTCCTGGTTATATACCTGAAAAAATTTCAGTCACCATCAGACAATAGTCCAGTTATAGAATCAGACTAATTACTCAATAACCAGTGAGTGGATTAAGAAAATACAATATAAGCTGGGCACCACTGGCTCATGCCTGTAATCCTAGCTACTCAGGAGGCTGAAATCTGAGGATTGGGGTTCAAAGCCAGCCCAGGCAGGAAAGTCCATGAGACTCTTATCTCCAATAAACCACTCAGAAAAGTAGAAATGGCATTGTGGCTCAAGTGGTAGAGTGCTAGCGTTGAGCTGAAGAGCTGAGGGACAGCATTCAGGCCGAGTTCAAGCCCCATGACTGACAAAAAAAAAAGAAAGAAAAAGAAAAGAAATACGATATAGATACACAATGAAATATAATTCAACCCTAAAGAATGATAAAATTTTGTAGTTGTGAGAAAAAAAATGAATGTACTTATAGATCATGATGTTAAGTGAAACAAGTCCAGGATGAGAAAGACAAACATCTGATGATTTTTTTTTTCTATGCAGAATGTAAAGTTAAAAAAACATGGAAGTTGAAAGAGACCTAAAGTGTCTGAATTTATGAGTTGTGTTAAATCTTTCTTTCCATTTTTCCCATGAAGAACCTAAACTGGGATAAGTTCTTGTGACCCACATCTGTAATCCTAACTACTCAGAAGCTGAGCTTTAAGGATTGAGATTCAATGCCAGTCTGGGGAGAAAAGACCCATCAGACTCTTACCACCAATTAAGGATCAAAAAGCCAGTGCAGCTGTGGCTCAAGTGGTAGAGCACTAGCCTTCAGACATAGCACCCAGGCTGTCAGTTCAAGCCCCAGGACCAGGACAAAATGAAAAGCAAAGAAACCTGAAGTAGAATTTATGGTCAGGGCTCATTTTTATATAATAATTCTTGTACAAAAGCTATAATTCTAGAAGGGAGTACTTAGAAACACTCATGAGCTTCCAGTTGCTCACTTGGGTTAAAGTGGCATTGGGTTAATGTGTCATTACTCTTGCTTATGCAGGCTGAGTCTCAGAAGACCATTGTGTTACATACCCTTCAAGACGCCTCATTCGAGGAGGACCGGCGTTTCACTATCCAGCTCGTCTCAGTCAATGAGGTAGAAATATCGCCAATAAAAGGTAAGATAAATGCACATTTTTGGAAATTACAAAATAGACCCTCAGAAAACACTAATCAAATAGTAGTTACAAAGACAGACAATGTTAGGATTCCTAATTCCTAAAATCTAGAGATGCCATTTTCTGTTATAGGAAAATAATTTTAAAGTTCCTTCCTTATCATACTCAATGTTCTTTAAGTGATGTTGCCATGGCCCTAGGTCAAATACTCCAAACTTTGTTAGTTTCTTTTTAAAAAATAATAAATGTGTTTGTTGCAGCAATGTTTATAAAATAAAATACAAAAGCCTCATTATACTTAGCCCAATAGTAGGAGACTGGATAAATATAACAATACTAGGCAATCATTAAACATGAAGCAGAAAATTTCTAATTACATTAAGTTACATTTACCTCTTAAGCACCAATAATGGTTATTTTTACATTAAAAATATCTATCATTATCAATTAGTTTTATAGTAAAAAACTATTTCATACTTCATATATTATTATGCTTGATATTATAGACTGCCTACACCTAATAAAAATTAGGTACCAGATATCTTGTTTTTTTTTTAGAAATAGGCATTGTTCTCATTTTCCTGTGGTCCATATGGTGGCTTGTTTCTTGTTTCTTTTTCTTTTTTTTTTATTTTGGTCGGTCATGGGGCTTGAACTCTGGGCTTGGGCACTACCCCTCAGCTTTTCAGCTCAAGGCGAACACTCTACCGCTTGAGCCACAGTGCCACTTCAGGTTTTCTAATGGTGTATTGGAGATATGAGTCTCACTCACTTTCCTGCCCGGGCTGGCTTTGCACCGTGATGCTCAGATCTCAGCCTCCTGAGTATCTAGGATTACAGGCGTGAATTATTATTATGGATGAGAAACTTTTATGAAAGCTTGGTTGTTTTTTTTGTTTATTTTGTTTTGTTTTGTTTTCTCAAGGTTTCTGGGGCTTGAATTTAGGGCCTGGCACTCTGACTTGACTTTTTAATCTTATTTATTTATTTATTTATTTTTACTAATGATTGGTGTTCTACCACTTGAGCCACACCGCCACTTCTGGCTCTTTGCCTCTCAAATTTGTCTGGCTGAACTAGCTTTAAACTGCAATTCTCCTATCTCAATCTCCTGAGTAGCTAGAATTACAGACAGGAACCACTGGTACCTTAGTTAATTTTTCATGTCCTTTGGTGCATTCAAAACTCTGGGTTTTTTTCTCCTTTGTTTTTTATTTCTTTAATGTTTTTATTTCTCTTTTTTATTTCTGTACCTTTTGTCTTGTATGTAAGTTTATCTGTTTGGGGGAGGGTAAAGGGGAGGACAGAAATGGTAGAATAAAGGGTGATCAAATGCAACAGTGATACTCACTAGACACTATGTTGAAAATGAACTATACATCTTCTGGGGAGCAGGGGTCGGGAAGGAAAAACTGGGAGAAAACAACACAAGAGGTGACACTGTTCAAAAAGAAATGTACTCATTACCTGACTTATATAAGTGTAACCCCTCTCTATCACCATTACAATAATGAAAAAAAAATCCTTTGACCTGAACAAGGTCTGTGATAGAAAAGTTAAGAAAATTCTTAAAATTACAGATCACATTGTTTTATGTATGTAAGGTGGCAATTTTTCCTACACTTTATATTTATTTTGTTCTGTTTTAAACAGTACTGGAAATTTGACTCACATCCTCATACATGCTAGGAAAGTTTTGTATCATTTGAGCCATGCTTCTAGTCCTTTCGTTTTGTTTGTTTGTTTGTTTTCAGATAGAGTTTCACATTTTTGCTTAGGTCACCTGAATTTGCGTGGTTGGGATTATAGGCATGTCCCACCCTACTGGTCCTCTTTCTGCCTTTCAATCTAGAATCCTTTTCAGCAAGACTGCTAAGAATCATATCATTGTGCCACATTCATCTGTAAGTCTTCACAGGATTGATGTCGCCCAGGCCAACCAGAATCAAAAATAACTATGTTTTAGGGTTTCATATAACTCCTTTACCAACATATAGAAGTGCTTAACATGTGTCCAACTGACATTGTTTTTATTGATCCATTGCCAAGAATTTGCAAGTACAATAATCTACCTCTTTTGGTCACTCAACCCTAATGTGTACTTCTGGAAAACAACTTCTTCAAAATTCTGCAAGATCACAATATGGATACTCAAATTACTGGATACAGGTCTAATTTCTTTGTTATTAGAAATATGATACTTTTATAAATATCTTTAGCCAAATGGTAGTCAGAATTTTTTTAAAAAGCATTCCACAGAATTCTTGCTATGGCAACAGAGCCAGCTGACAGAACCGTGCAGCAATGCTGTGAGATGTGCACTGGTTCCTATACTGGTGACTCCCCTCCCTCTGGCAGACCTCTTATCATGGAATGGTGTTGAGATGATGGTCTGTCCCAGCCCTTTTCATAAGCATGTTATCCTAAGCCAGTGTGTAATACTTCAGTGTCTCAGCATTCCTTAACATCCTCTGGACAAGCAAGGGTATTAGTGTCTGCTTCTGATGGTCAGGAGTATTAACTAGTTAGTCTGTGTGCATAGTTATGTATAGTTGCTTGAGAATGGTCTGTGTCATTTTCATCTTAGGTAGTGCATCAATCATCATCCGAAGTGATAAAGGAGCATCAGGAGAAGTTGGCATAGCTCCATCATCTAGGCACATCTTGATTGGAGAACCCTCAGCCAAATATAATGGGACTGCTTACATCAGGTCAGGCCTCATTATTTGTCTTGGCTCATGAGTCCATATGAGCTGTTATTTCAATAAAAATCTAGTGCATCACCCTCTGCACACACTTAGTGTCCATGCATTTTACTGACCATCATGTGCACAATAGAACAAGCTATATGCAGATTAAAAATACAGCCTGATGCACCTTGAAGTTAGATCATGAGGAAGGTTTTGGACTCAGTGGTTTGCATAATTTACACCAAGGAAAGCACAGAGAGCTAAGATATGCGTTCAGTCCCATTCTATCATTAAACATGTGGTTACAGGATCACTTCATATCTATGATTTCCTTCCTTCCTTCCTTCCTTCCTTCCTTCCTTCCTTCCTTCCTTCCTTCCTTCCTTCCTTCCTTCCTTCCTTCCTTCCTTCCTTCCTTCCTTCCTTCTTTCCTTCCTTCCTTCCTTCCATAGTGCGGTTTGAACTCAGGGTTTTGTGCTTGCTTTCTACCACTTGAGCCATACCTTCAGCCCTATAGCTCTTATTATGTTACAGGTAAGGTCTCACTTTTTTTTTGGCCAGGGCAGTCTGGACTACAATTCTCATATATATGCTTCCCACCATAGCTGAAGTGACAGGCACATACTACCATGCCTTGTCTGTGGGGGGCTTCATGAAATTTTGACTGAGTTACCCAGGAAACACAATCCTCCCAACCGCAGCTTCCTGAGCAGCTAGGATTACTACCAAGCCTACTCTCTCCCACATTTTTAAGTGAGGAATAGTACAACCATCAGTGAGGTACCTAGATTTGATATGATGCTTTATCTTTTTCATAAACATCGAAAGTTAATACTTTATTTGTTGAAAAGTAATACTTAATACATGAAATGTTAATTGTTTTTGAAAGACCTATATTATGTTTTTCTTATTTTATATTGCTTATTAAGTAAAAATAAGTATTTGTGTATTAAGTAAAAATATAGGGACACTTTGTGTGTGTGTGTGTATGTATGCAAGTGTGTGTATATATATGTGCGTGTGTGTGTGTGTGTGTGTGTGTGTGTGTGTGTGTGTTTGTGTAGTGTTGGTCCTGGGGCTTGAACTCAAGTGTCTATGCCCTGTCCTGACATTTTTGCTCAAAGCTAGCACTATATCATTTGAACCACAACTCCACTTCCAGCTTTTTGGTAGTTAATTGGAGATAAGGGTTTTATAGACTTTCCTGTCTTAGCTGGCTTTGAACTGTGATCCTCAGATCTCAGCCTCCTGGGTAGCTAGGATAATAGGTATGAGCCACTGGTGCCCAGCATGAAGCTTTCTTTTTATTTCTTTAAAGCTCAAGTGGTAGAGTGCTAGCCTTGAGCAAAAGAAACTCAGAGACAATAAATAAATAAATAAATAAATCTACTTTCAGTGCTTAGTTTTGGTCAGTATTTTGATCAAGATAAATATCTGTCAAAATATACTTTGGATATTACTATCTTGGAATTTTAAGACCTTCTATTGATTTGTAGTTGATTTGCAAGATTGTTTAAAGGCATATTATTCTTGGTTACTTGAAGTGTTGAAAAATAACAGCAAATATTTAGGAAAAGTGGCATCAGTGAAAATGTACTGAATATGCATTTGTATGTTGCTCTAGCCTTGTTCGTGGCCCTGGTTCTCTGGGGGAGGTCACAGTATTCTGGAAAATATTCCCTCCGACTGTCGGAGACTTTCTTGAAACAGCAGGAAAACTGACCCTGCAGGATGGGCAGTCTGTGGCCACTGTAGCAATACAGGTATTGATGCTGCTGGCTGCTGGCAGCCTTTCATCTGTGCGTGTCAGTGTGTGTGAGTGATGATGAGTGTGACTATGTGTAATTCCTTCTGAGTGATTGTGTGGTTGTATGGGTGTGATTGTGTTTGTGATTCTATGTAAGTGACTGTGATTGTGTGTAATTGTTTGTGTGTGTGTGAGTGTGAGTATGACTACATTTGGAGGTGGGAGGTTAACAGTAGGGAATCTAAATCTCCAGCTGTTCTTTAGGGATAGGCACTTTTCCTTATGTTCACTAGATCCCTGTGTTTATGGCTCTTTGTCCTGCCCCAGACTTTGGATGATGACATTCCAGAGGAGAAGCATTCCTATGAGTTTCGGCTCATGGCGAGTGAAGGAGCTGAGCTGAGTGTCACCAGCCATTCTGCCAACATCACCATGGTGGCCAGTGACTCCCCATATGGCCAGTTTGCATTTGCACAAGAGCAACTACAAGTGTCAGAGGAAACACAGGAGGTGGGTGTGGTATGAAAAGATGCTTTAAGTATTCATATCACTTTGGATTAATTTAGTCATTCCTTTAATATAACTTACGCTTTCATAGATTTGATTTTAATTTCAGCAGAATTCTGCTAATGAGACTCATTAGTTACAGGTAACATTGTCCAATCTTCAGAATATGCTCTTCCAATAGGTCAACATCACTATTGTCCGCTCGGCTGGACACTTTGGCCTGGTGGTGCTCACATATGAGACTGTGAGCAGGACAGCAGAGGCAGGCTTGGATTTCATGCCCATGTCAGGAGAGCTTGTCTTTGAGGCTAGGGAGGTGGCAAAAAGTCTGCGTGTTGCAATCCTTGATGATGACCAACCTGAAGGCCCGGAGGACTTTTCTCTCACAATTACAAAGGTGGATCTCCAGGGAAGGTAAAAAGGAGGACTAAAAAAAAAAAAAAATGAAGAGTGGGAGGGAGGGAAGGAGGAAGGGAGGATAAAAGCTGCACTGTATACTGTATACAGATACTGTTAAGCCATGAAACAATTCTTAGATTTGTGGCATTACAGCAGGGTATAAAAGGGAAGGGAAAATAAGGACTAAGTAATATATATATATATATATATATATATATATATATATACACACATACATACACACACACACACACACACATATATATATATATATATATATATATATCCAGTTTTCTCATAATTCCATGAAAGTGGGAAGGATATCTTTTGGATGGGTGAATTCATTCAGGGTGGGCAAGGAATTGAGCAGGACATGACCATCTTATAACTGGTTAAGGAAATAGCCTGGGCCTTTTCAGCTCAGCTCCTATTGTCACTTAATACTTTACTCTTCAGTTTCCTAATTGTACCTCAAAGATAATCTTATTTAACTCTTTCAACACCTGGTAGGTTGTTGAACTGGGAATTGAAGGAAGGAGTACAAGATTAAAGAGGTTTAATATCCCCTTTTAACTCCATGAATTTAAGTGGCATAAAGAATTGGAAATGAAGCTTGTTCAATGAGAGTGATATCAGTTTAAAAATGTCTATGCTGAACTATATCATTACATGTATAAGGTACCCTCTAGATTAAAGCACACAGCAATGGTCCCAATTCAGTTCAAGTATCTTCTTGAATCTTGGTCCTATGGGTGTGGTACCCATTAATTCTTTAGAGTAACTGCTAGCCAACAGTGAGACCTCAGGCCTTCTGGTTACTGTCTTGGAGTCTCTCAGTCCTTTGCTCAGCAAGTCTGCAGTACAGATCCATAGAAATTTGTTTTAGGATAGCTCCTCCCATATTTCCTCCTGTTTTTTTTTAATTATTATTATTATTTTACCTTGTGTGATTTTAGTACTTTTATATTAATTTTGATACCATACTGACATCAATACTTGCAAAAAGAACAGAAAACATTTCAATGCATCATTTCCAGACAGAATATCTTAATGTTGAGAGTCTTTAAAAAGTCTTTTATAAGCCTGGTGTCAATGGCTCACACCTATAATCCTAGAGGCTGATCTCTGACAATCTAGGTTCAAAGCCCAGGCAAGAAAGTTTGTGAGACTGTTATTTCCAATTAGCTACCAATAAGCAGGAAATGTCTCTGTGGCTCAGTGTAACATAGCACTGGCCTTGAACACAAAAATCTCAAAGATAGTGCCCAGATCCTAAGTTCAATCCCCAGGATAGGCACACTCACACACACAAAAACATACAGACACACAGACACACGCATACACACAGCATTACAGTAGTTAATAAAAGCAAGACAAAGTAACCAAAAGGACCTTTCAATTCATAATAAATAATTGTATGTTGGCATTATTTTATTTTGTTGTATTTGAAATTTTTGTTTCCTCTGACTTTGCAAGTGGATATGATTTTACCATTCAAGAAAATGGACTTCAGCTAGATCAACCTCCTGAACTAGGAACCATCTCCACTGTTCAAATCATCATCCTACAAAATGATAATGTGGAGGGCATCATTGAATTTGACCCAAAGTATACTGCCTTTGAAGGTAGGTTCAGTTAAAAACTTACCACCATTTTCTGAATTACCAAGTATTTGATCATGACATTTGATTTGAAGTTTCATGTGTAAATTTGCCTAGTTTGTGTATGTTTGTGTACGCACATGCTCATGACTTGAGACATTCCCTGAGCTCTTTTTGCCTTAGGCACTTTTCAGATAAGGTCTAATATTTTTTAAACTGGTTGGTTTCAAACCATAATTACCTTTGTGCCTACAGTTACAAGAGTTAGTCAGGTACTCTATCTCTTTGTTTTGATCAGACTGGCCTTGAACCATCATCCTACCAACCTCTTCCTTCTGAGGACTAGGTGGATTACGGGCATGAGCCACTAGCATCTTGCTTATTTATTTAGAAAATATATTTTTAGTTAGTTTAATTTTCAAACATTTCTGTGTATGGCAAAGTTCACATAAGCAGGAGCAAATCACTCTAGAAAAATAACATTTGACTTGAGAATTATTAAACATCTTCCTGGCTTAAATATTTAAAATCTTTCTAGTTATGAAATATTTAATTTCCCATGTGATTAGAAATTAGTGCACACTCTCTTTGCAGTGAATAGTTACTTTGAAATGAGTATTCTACTGGGATGAAGATATAGGTAGTTTCTTACCCCATGATCTTGCTTTTTCAAGTGTTCTAAGCAGCTTTCCTAGCATTAGCAACTCTCTCCTTTGGAAGCAGAATACCAAATTAATATGGCTATGTTCCTATCTAGATTGGAAGATATGACTGCTTTTCAAGGAAAATGATTTTATTCAAATGCAGAATATGAATATAGTGTTATGATGAATACATTTTCTTACTTCTATAATTAGTCAGTTACCTCTATCAAAAGTTTTTGGTTCTCTCAACATTTTGAAAATGCATTAAGAAAATACTTTAGTAGTTGATTTCTAATGATTGTCTAATGGATGAGGCTTGGAAGGTATTACTGTTTTATGAATTTCAATCTATAGCTAGTAACATTCCTGTTCATAATTTTGCATCAAGAAACATATAAGACTTTGACTTGTACTTTTTGTTGATGCCTGACTGGTTCCCTATGTTTGGGTGATTTTGGCAACACATATTTGTAGTTATAATTAAAATTTAATACTATTTAACAGAAGTGTGTAATCTCTATTAAATGAAATCCTAATATACAGAGGTTAGTGTAGGCCAAGAAATACAGGTATTTTCAAAGAACTTTTTAATTGAAATCAGTTTTTCATTATATGTTTTCATATTCACGAGTAGATTTTATTTATCTAATAAGTAGAATTATTTGCATATGTAGACTTTTAAAGAATTTATACAATGTAATAACATTATTGCCATTTCAAACAGAGGCGTGGAAACAATCCACAATGTTTTATTTTCCACATACTTGCAGGGTTTATCATGTCTGTCTGAAGTAACTCAGTCAGCAAGAGTCAATTATTGGTGCAGCAAATAAAAGAAGAATATCTATGCTAATGATTCAGTAGGTTGTTTCAATCCCTCCACTACTCACTGTAACTTTTCACATCTGATAAAGCATATTCTTTCTTTTATAAAAAGCCATAAAAAATTCACTGACCTATAGAAAAAATGAGCATGGTCATCTTTCAATGCCAGGCTTAGTCTGGCTGAAGGTTATGAAAGCCGATCGCTCTCTCTGGCACTTCAATGAGTCCTCCATTTCCGTTGCAGTGGAGGAAGATGTGGGGATGGTTGCCATCCCGGTGCGGAGGCTGCATGGAACTTACGGCCGAGTGACAGCTGACTTCATCTCTCAGAGTGCGTCTGCTCTTCCTGGAGGAGTGGATTACACATTGCATGGCAGCTCCGCTACCTTCCAACATGGGCAGAACTTAAGTTTTATACATGTCTCCATCACTGATGACGATGAGAGGTTGGTAGCATAGGAACCAGTGTGTGTGTGTTCATATGAAAGGCAGGGATGTTGTAGTGTTGACAGTAGGTGTATTTCATATCATGTCATTTCATGACAGAGGAAAAAGACTGGGGTAACCTGAGGTAGGAAGAGAAGGGCTAGGGAACTCCTAGATGTAGATGTCATTTTGTTTCAAATAGAGGATATAAGTTATGTTGTTCAAAAGTCTAGTCTCAATATGGAAGCATCTTTGGTTCACCCCCTTGGGCTCTGAGCTGTGAGAAAGAGGGGTTGTATGGCAGTTATCCTAGGTTATGTGGTTATGATGTCTATATTAGGCTTTCTGCTCGGCACCTCTCCTTACCAGTTGCTGGGTGACTGTCGTATGAATATGTATGACCAATTTGGAAAATGAGTTGTTATTTGGACTTTAGAAGCATTTTTAACATGTTTAGACTCACAGAACTGCTTCTTGCAATGCAGTGAATTTGAAGAATCAATTGAAATTCTCCTCACTGGGGCTACTGGTGGAGCGGTCCTCGGGCGCCACCTTGTGAGCAAAATAACCATTGCTGAGAGTGACTCTTCGTTTGGCATTGTTCGGTTTCTCAATCAAAGCAAAATCTCGATTCCTAACTCCAATTCCACGATGATTTTATCCTTGATGCTGGAGAGGACTGCAGGACTCTTGGGAAATATCCAGGTAGACTTCTTCTTCCTGTGTTTTAAAGGTTAATCCTTGATAAACTGTTTGATGGTGTATTTCCTTATTCCTCAAATAGATTTAGTCACAATGAATGAGTGATATTTGTTCATTATCTTATGAGTGAAAAATGACCTGTGAGGCTGATGAAGTCCATAGAAGGGTACGAGGCACAAGTCTGTGCTTAGGGAATGTTTTAGAGCAAGTAAGAAATTGAGCAAATTATTCTGGTAAAATTAGCCAGTTTAGCAAGTATGTATGGAATGATTTCTGTGTGCCTACCCTTGTTCTAGGGCATGGAGAACTCATTTGTGAACTAGACAGAGCTAGTCTCTGTTCTAACATTGCTCACTTTAGTAAAAAGACTTTAACAGGGAACAAATAAGATGAGTGTGAGTGTGGTAACCATAATCTGCTCCATGATTACTCATAAACTGGAAGACCTGATTGTGGGTAATGTGCTAGCTGCTGGGGGAATAGCAGGTAAGGGTTAGTAGTTAAACTGTAAGTGGAGTAATTAGAACCATGAAGGCCTGACATGTTTGAGGCAGGAGAGGCCTAAGGGGTGGGTGCATTTGAAGTGATGGGTAACATACAAGCCAGATTTGAGGGCACAGTGGGTGTTTGGACATATGGAACTCTCTTTTTTCTGGTCCTGGGACTTGAACTCAGGGCCTGCACACTATCCCTGAGCTCTTTTGCTCAAGACTAGTGCTCTACCACTTGGAACCACAGGTGCACTTCCATTTTTTCTGCTGGTTAATTGGAGATAAGAGTCTCATGGTCTTTCCTGTCCAGGTTGGCTTTGAACCCGCAATCCTCAGATCTCAGCCTCCTGAGTGGCTATGATTACACTCACATCAAGCTCACATGGAGCTCTTTTTTTTTTTTTTTGTCAGTTGTGGGGCTTGAACTCTGGGCTTGGGCGCTGTCCTTGCTCTCTTCAGCTCAAGGCAAGTGCTCTACCGCTTGAGCCACAGCACCACTTCCGGTTTTCTAGTGGTTTATTGGAGATAAGAGTCTCACAGACTTTCCTGCCCAGGCTGGCTTTGAACCTCAATCCTCAGATCTCAACCTCCTGAGTAGCTAGGATTGCAGGCATGAGCCACTGGCGCCCAGCACATGGAGATCTTAAGTCAGGTTAAAGACTATGCTGAATGCAAACTGGATTCTGTTAGGGAGATTAACAGGAGAATACGTGTCACTCATAGTTGTTCATCTTTAGTAGCTTCCCTGTGCTACTATGAGGTAAAAGGGCTTGCCTGGGAGCAGGTGGAGCAGTGTGGAGACAGGCAGGAACTATGCCCTCTATTAAAACCTGGGTGGCTGAGCCAATAGAGAGCCAGAAGTGGAGGGACATTGAGTATAATTTGGAAGAAAATTTCATTTGGCTAAACATGGAAGCAAAGGAAAATAGTAATCAATTCTAGATCACTGTGAGAAGTCACTGTACTGATTTCTGAGGTTCAAATGCCTGGAGGGGTGGAGGGCAAAAGCAAGAGTTCTGCTTTGGCCAAGTTTGTTTGCCATCCTGTTAGATGTACCAGTGGAGAAGCCAAGCTGACCAGGGATGTGTGGGACGTGTTGGGAGTGACCAGGGCTGTGAGCACAGCTGTGGGACCCAGTGAAACAAGTGGCCAGTTTTCTTTCATCGATGACAGGGGAAACATGCATTTTGGACTGTAGAAATCTGACAGTACATTCATTATGAAATGAACGTTTATTTCTTACAACAGGTCATGAAATTTTCTGTTCCTCTTTCAGTAGGAAATTGGGCATATTTAGAAAAGACTGTACACTCAGCCGCATTTTTTGCATAGTTTTAAGGTCTTATGCCAGGGCACTTTGATTGGCAGGAGTTGGGGCATGCCACGGGACAGGACATAAACTTTAAAAATGTCTATATTTCCCTAACACACTTGCATATTGTTGTTACTGGGGTTTGAACTCAGAGGCTTATATGTGATAGACAGCTGCTCTACTATTTTTGCTTGGCTCACGTTGTTTAACAAATTTTTGGACTGTCTCGGTTTTTGCCTGAGACAGATCTCATACTGTGATCCTCCCATACACCTCTTATATACTTAGGATTACAATAGTGAATCACCACATCTAGCCTTTTTACTAAGATGGGTTTTTTAACCCAGGCTGGCCTCCAAACATTATCCTCTCAATTTCTATATCCTGAGTATCTTCTATTACAGGCATGAGCCACTAATGTGTGTGTGTGTGTGTGTGTGTGTGTGTGTGTCAATGTGCTTGTCTTGTTAGTTTTATCCATAAAATTGATATTCTAAAGAGACAAAGTTCATATTATGATTTCAACAAATACAATTTTAATAAAAAGGAGATAAAACAGGAATTTGTGTGGGGATTCTTAGAGTAATTCTATATGGATGTATGCTTTCAATACTGCATACACTGTAATAATTATTTGCCTAAAATTAATTTCCTATATTAAAGAAACAAAAATAACTCCCCTACAGGTGAACTGGGAGATAGTAGGACCCGATTCTGAAGAAGGTTTACTGCTCCAGAGCAGTGACTTTGCAGAGCCAGTGAACGGCACCTTTTATTTTGAAGAGGGAGAAGGTGGAGTAAGAACCATAATCCTGACTGTCTATCCTCATGATGAAATTGAAGTTGAAAAGACTTTCACAATTCAACTTACAGTTGTGAAAGGAAAAGCTACATTGGACTCCAGAGCTAAAGATGTTACATTAACAGTAAGTCTGACTCTTCTTTCTCATAAGATTTTGGAATTAAAGCACTATCAGGAAATACATTTATGCTATACGCATATGTTAACTTGAAAATACTCAAAGCCATCTGAAGTCATAACTACTACAGGTCAAACTTTCTCACTTTTTGTGGTAGTTCATTTTATAATCTTGTTTATTTTTTTAAAGTTTAAATAGTGTGATGAATACTTTTTTACAGTATTAGAGAAAATTTGAACTTTGGGGCATATCTAGCCCTGGTAGAAAAGGGGCATAATATTTACAATTGTATAATAGTAACAATGATAGGGCTTTGTTGCCTCTATTTACCTGCAATCATAGCTCACAAAAGGAACTTGGGGACAATTAACCAATTAAATGTAGAAAACAAGACAAATAAAGCAAAAGTCATGCTTTAACATGCTATGCTTTGGGAGTTCTACCATTGTAGTTTTCTACTTTTTCCCTTTATCTTTGCAAAATAGGAACTCAATTGTTTTGGGCAGTAGTAAGTGCAGTAATGAAGTTATAAAACATCTGAGTAGCTAGGCAGATGATATCCATTTCATGTCTCCATTCCCTCAGTTTAATTGTGTGTTAACATGTTATCATTGAATCATAGCTGTGCAAATCCTGTTTACTATGCTCTTGGTTAATGGTTTTTAGATACAAAAGTTTGGTGACCCCAATGGAATTGTGCATTTTGCTCCCGTGTCTTTATCTAAGAAGATCTACACAGAGCCGCTGGCAGCAGAAGGACCCCTTGTCATCACATTATTTGTCAAAAGAGTCAAAGGCACCTTGGGTGAGATTAAGGTATTATTTTTATTTGTTTTTTTTTTTCTTTTTCTTTTTTCTTTTTGTGTTCCAGCTATGGGACTTGAACTCAGGTGTTGTCCCTGAATTCTTTTGCTCAAAGGTAATACTCTACCACTTGAGTCACAGCTCCATTTCTGGCTTTTTGCTGATAATTGGAGAAAAGAGTCTAATGGAGTTTCCTGTCTGGATGGGGTTCGAACTATGATCCTCAGATTTCAGCATCTTGGTTAAAGCTAGGATTACTGGAGTGAGCCAAGACACCTGGCTCATGGTTTTTTTACGTAGAGAATCCATTTGCCTAATGAAGGTGGTTGAGAGGAGTATAAAAACTCTCAATTTTCTACTTATCTATATACATATTTATATGTTTTATAAATCTAAGCCACTGAATTTTTAGAGAAAATAATGAGAGCCCACATTTAAGATCATTTAGCTTGGAGGGAAAAGGTTCTGAAATCAATCCCTCATGTATAGCCAGGGATATCTGCATGGCACAAGATAAAAGTGAAAAAAAGAATGGAGGGACAAGAGGTGAATTAATGCAGCAGTGGTCCTCACCAGACACTCTGTGGAAAATGAACTATACAACTTGTGAGTGTGGACAGGAGGGACCAACTGGGAGAGAGCAAGGCAAGGGTGACATTGTCCAAATGTTTATTGCCTGACTTATGCAACTAAAACCTCTGTATATCATTTTTATAATAACAATAAAAATAAAAAGTGAAAAAAAGTCAAAAAGAAAAAGATCATTTAGCATCAGCCTTTGTCATCTAAGTTTTGGTAGAGTTACTTACAAAGCCCTTTCTTACACTGAATCATGAAAGACTAGATAACTGCTTGCTACTACATGAAGTTTTCCCTACCTAAGCTCCTTAGTGACCTTTGTAAATTACTTCTTGAATTCTTCTGGGCTTTATTTTTTGATAGAAAATTTCCTTTTAGCAGGTATTTTTTGTTTTTGCTTTTTTTTTTTTTTGGTCGGTTGTGGGGCTTGAACTCTGACCTGGGCACTGTCCCTCAACTCTTCAGCCCAAGGCTAGCATTCTACCACTTGAACCATAGTACCACTTTCAGTTTGGGGGTGGTTAATTGGAGATAAGAGTCTCAGGGACCATTCCTGCCTAGGCTGGCTTTGAACCTCAATCCTCAGATCTCAGCCTCCTGAGTAGCTAGGATTACAGGTGTGAGCCACTGGTACCCAGCTGCAAGTTTTTAAAGGATGTTGAAATTATGCATATATTGGTGGAGATTGAGGATGCTTGTGGAAGTTCCACTGGTATTTTGTTAATGGGTCAAATCATTTCTCAGGAAAAATATGATTTTTTAACCATTTGCTAGAAAAACAGACTTTGACATTTTCCTCCACAAAAAACCTTTCTTCCTGTACTAAAGATTTACCATGATTTCTTCACCTGAAATTATATGTTCTGGAGAAATGAATGATGAAATCTTCTGTTAACATTTAGAGATTCTATTTTACTAAAAATAGGCAAAAACAAATTAAAATGCCAAACATCAAACTTTCCATGTAGTTTTTATCTTCCAATAGTATTTGAATAACTAAAGATGAATGTATTTGTGGAATTAAGAATATTCAAGTTAGCTTGTTTCTCGTTGTCCCTTTAAGTTGACCAATTACTTTAGAAATAGGTGAAATAATAAGATAATCTTTTAAACAATCTTGTCCTGTATATTGTATGTGAGAGTTTGGTGGGGTTAAAATACTTTCCAAGCTAATGCACACATGGAGAATTGGCTTTGCGCATAGCAAGGCATACAGATCGGTGCAAGTTGCTTATACTTGTAATCCTAGCTACTCAGGAAGCTGAAATCTGAGGATAGTTGTTCAAAGCCAGGCCACACAGAAAAGTCCATCAGGCTCTTACCTCCAACAAACTATTCAGAAAAACTGGAATTGGAGCTGTGGCTCAAATGGTGGAATGTTAGCCCTGAGCAAAAGAAGCTTAGGACAGCACTGAGGCCCCAAGTTCAAGCCCCACACTGACACTATATATATATATATATATATATATATATATATATATATATATACATACATATATATGTATATATATATATATATATACACACAAATACATGCATACATATATATTCACATACATATATAAAGGTGTAATTAAAACTTCCCTTTGTGTATCTTAGAGGAAAAAACATTCTAAAGGGTTGGGGATTCATATATCCTGTTAAATAACTTTCTTGGATTCTTTTCACTTTTATTTTAGATTTACTGGGAATTAAGTAGTGACTTTGACATCACTGGAGACTTTTTATCCACAAATGGGTTTTTCACCATGGCTGATGGAGAGAGCGAAGCAAGCTTTGATGTTTACTTGTTGCCAGACGACACCCCTGAGATCGAGGAAACCTGTGTGGTCCAGCTTGTTTCTGTGGAGGGAGGAGGGAAACTGGATCAGGAGAAATGTATCACGTGGTTCTCTGTGTCTGCAAATGATGACCCGCATGGTGTATTTGCTCTGCGTCCAAATCACCAATCCATTCTCATTGGGAAGAACTTTATCAGATCCATCCAAATCAATGTAACCAGGCTTGCTGGAACATTCGGAGATGTAGCAGTTATATTTCAAATATCATCCGATGATAAAGAAGAAGTAATCGCCCCTGAAAATATGGAGGGGCAGTTGGTGGTCAGAGATGGTACCAGATACAAAGTGGACACAGTGCCCATCAAGAGTCAGGTTTGTGGTGTTGATCAACTTCTGGGTCACCCATTCTAGTAGTGCTCCTTTGTTTTTCCTTATGATCAGATGCAAGTCTTATTTGGGTATTCAAAAGAACCATGAAAAATGCCTAAAGAAATGCCTGGTAACTATTGGATAGTCCCTTCACAGAATCTAAGTGAGTAAGTAGATTCCACATCCAGATAGAAATGTAGTTTTGTCCAGATTATATCAAGCACCTATTTAGTACTTACGAATTTCAAGGGAGTACAATGGGAGTGCTTCCAGTGCTTAAATACAGAGATCCATACCTCCTTCTGTTCTTGAATGTTTGGCTCCTGGAAACTAGCTATGATGGTCTGGGATGGTAGGTAGGGGATAGAGCAGTAAACTGCTCTGCCAACATGAGGTGGGGGTGGGGGGTATATACACACAAGTTTCCTGTGGCTCAAGTAGATACCTCAAATACTGTTTCTCAGAACCCCAGAATAGTGAGTCAAGAAATTGTTTTTTCTTAATGCTCTCCCAAATGGTACATACCCTATGATTTTCTCTGTTAGAAGAGAAGCTAATATATTTCAGTGTTTATGACATTATTTCTGAGGATTAATTTATCTTATCATTGAGAAAGATTACCCGGAAGTATCAAATTGAAGCCACCTTGTGAAAAAAATCTGCAGGGTTTATTGCTAATCTGGAGGGATGGCGAAGTTGGAGATTTGAAGCCTTTTAGAAACACCCAGATCATTTCCACAGAGAGCTAAGCATTGTTGCTGTTCTCAGAGAGGCATGGTGTCAGTGTTGGTAGCTAAGAAAGCACTAGCGCCCCAAAGCAAGGCACCTGTCATTTTGTCTCAGGTGCTTTTTCCTTCCCCAAAGATTGTTGACAATGTTCAGGAGTGATTGAAGGAGAACTGTGGACTCAATAGAATGAGTGCTTCTTGCTATAGACCTTCAGCTATAGACCGAGCAAGAGCTAACATAAACAGAGAAACTTATGTACAGTTGTTTTTTTAGATCTAGTCACAATATTGTCAAAAAGTAATGGGACAGAACCCTCCTAAAATGCTAATAGAGGTTAAGTGCTGATGGCTCACACCTGTAAACTTAGCTAGTCTCAGGAAGCTGAGACATGGAGGCTCATGATTCAAAACTAGCCCAACTAGAACAGTCCATAAAACTCTATCACTGATTGCCAGCAAAATGCCAGACTAGAGTTATGGCTCAAGTGGCAGAACAGCAGCTATGAACAAGAAACACATAAAGAGCATGAAACCCTAAGTTTAAGCTTCAGTCCCAGTACTAAAAGTAAGTAGCTCTCTAAGACTTTTTAAATCTAAGATTCAATACATTTATGGTAAAACAAATCAAGAGTAGACAACATGCCTATCTGTAGGAAATTCTACTTACTAAGCAATATTCTGGTTTTTTGTTCACCTAGGTCTTTATTTGATATTTAATAGGGATGTCCTTATCTCAGATTTATTCCTATACTCCTATGGTTCTCTGGGAAACTGACTCAATACCATCACCCTGGTTTAGTAGTCTCTAAACTCTATATCTATGTCTTAATATTATCAAGACTGTAGCAAAGGGCACAGAATAAAGAAGCATTAAGGCAGCCATAGTATTGTATTAAGTCCTCATGTACAAATTAGAAGATCTGGGCTACCTGAAAGACCTTATCTCAACAGAGCCAAACAAAACCAAAATACAGTGTGCTTACATTATATAATTTCACATATATTCCCATGCATTCATAGCAGCGTGTTCTGAACGTATTCAAATCATAATCTGCTGGTGAAAGCTGTGTGTCATACCTTTAAGTATTCAAGGAATAGATGTGTTTCCTTTTATATCAAGGTTGGGTTTGGCAATCAGTTTCCTCACAGAGAAGTCTGGATTACCATCTATTGTTTTTTGGAAAGATGCATGCAGAACAAAATTTCTTTCAGGTCATGGGTAGGAAAAATGAAATACGTATGTTATAGGAACTACCTTGCTTGCTCTGCCTCAGGCTTCTATTTGTGTTTGGGGATATTTTGTAGGATAGGAGGTTGCTTTTCCTTTCATATGGAAAGTTTCATCGTTTAATTTGAAAAGTACTTGGCATTCCTAAAACTATATGTATTAGCTATGCATTTACATTAAAGGCTTTGGAATGCCTATTTAATTGCTTTTATGATTTCTATTTTCAACAGAAAGTAATAAGTTTATTAGGACAAAAACTCCCCCAACATTTTTCTTAACAAATTTTAATATGCATGTGTTTCTTTTCTTACACATTGCAAGATGTGGAAAACCAAGGCCTAGCTAGAGTACTAGGTATTGCTAAGTTAGTATTCCAAGATAACTGTTTGGGACAAAGTGTGACATACTTATAAACCAAAATTAGAATTTTTTTCCCCTGAGGTCCACTTTCTTGTACCCACTCTGGCTATACAACACTGCTTTTTGAAGATAAACACATTAGTCATGAGTTTACATTATAGTTCTCCTTTCTCTATTTTCATGGGTGAAGCTTAGGAGTTAGGACAGGTCAGTCGCCAAGAAGAACACCCAAAGCCATGCATGTACATAATCCCTGTGCTGTGGCCTCTAACCTTCTGGAGGATCGTTGAAGCAAGGGAAGGGTCTGTCAAGCTCTACAATATAAAAGACTCCTGAAGTAGGTTTTGCACTAGGCTCTTGGCTTGGATTGTAAACTGTTGCCACACTTGGCTGAGTCTTGGGTTCTTGTATGAGGTGCACACTGGCAGTAAAAAGTGAAAGGGACAAGTCAAGGCTTAGAAGGATATAAATCAGAATACAGGAGGATGTGCGCGTTTGTGACTGGGACATTTGTTGAGCATTTACACTGTGCTGTCCTTGTGAGAAGTTTAGTAGGCACAGAGAGGGACAAGTCACAATTCCTGTTGTTATGTGCTTTTGGTGTTAGAGGAGAAGGTCCATTGGCCTCCAATTATAAAAGTGTGTGGGTAAGCAGTGCCAGAAGTGCTTAGAGTATTGTGGGATGTGCATAGAGTATTAAGGGACCATAAATTCTTGATGGGAAATATATAAAATGAGTAATGTTAGGTAAATGAATAATGAGTCCAGGAGCAATGCTGGGTCCTAGAACTAGAAAGAGAATGTGAAGTATTACTGGAAACTTTCAAGTTCTTTGAATATCTGTAGAATGCCTCTTCTGTAGGCCAACTGGCTATTTCTCCAATCTGCAGTGACTCACGTTCAACTTTAATGTTCATTATCTTGTGGATCTGCCCCATCACACAAGTCTGTGTGTGCTTATTTGTCCCATGAGTGGAGGAGCCACATGGGAAAGGAGAAGCAATGGGGTGCTTTGAATGGATAAGTGATCCTTCATTCTTCTGCAGCACTAGCGGCTCAGCCAGTGACTTGCTGGGGTAGGGATAAGGAATATAGGAGGGTTGAGATGCCCATGCCTGAAGTGACAGTTCTGTTTATGACTTGTTCCCTTTGCATTTGACTTGAAATTCATTTTTAATACATGCTATTTTGCAAGAATGAAATAATCTGTTTTCTCACGTTACATATCATTTGTACAAGTTATGTGCATTGGTGGATGGAATGGACATGGAACTCTATTAAGTTTTAGAAGAAGATATTTGATAGAATGAGTTGCCTTTGCATTCAATAGAGATACAGACATGGTAGGACTATTTCAGGTTTGAGGATAACTTTGGGGATAATCAGATAATCATTACTGATAGCAATGTTTCTATGGGAAAATAATACGTTGCAAGAATGCTTTTTGTTTCATACACGAATGTTATTTCAGGAGTTTTTTTCTCCCTACTTTGTTTGATTCTAAAGTTTTCCTCAGTGATTTTTTTTATTTACCCCAAGTGTTCAAATAATTAAGACAACTAAGTCACTATCCATATTGAGTAACTGATACTGGTTACCAGTTGTTGCTTCATGTAGAGAAAAGGAAGTGGGCTTTGGGGGGTTATGGGAGACGACACTTCACTAGTGTGCTCTTCTGTTCCTGTGACACTTAAGCCCTCCTGGCTGTGTGCACATGATTCCTGTCATTCTTGAGGCCATTTTGGCAGAAATAGTGCACATTTGTGTACACATTGGTGTGCACATTTGTCATACTCCCTAATTCCTGCTCCTCACCTCACGCTACAAACTAGTAGATTGTTTTAAGACCAGGGGAAAGACTGATGAAGCTGCTTGCTTGTTGAGGCACCTCAGGGAGTGTGCTAGTAGTTCAGGGCGCATGCCTTCATTTTCCTCTGACAATTATTACTACTAAATGCAACCTTTGATACTGTTTCTTTATAGATCTTCCTCTCACTGGGCTCTAATTTCACCTTGCATCTGGAAGCGGTGATGCTGGTGAGTGGACGTGTCTATGGCATGCCAACAATTCTCCAGGAAGCAAAGTCAGCTGGCCTTCCCATCCCAGAGGAAGCTGCCAACTCCCAGGTAATTGGCATGGGGTGTGTTACTCTCATCAGACCCCCAGAGGGCAGTTTATATGAAAAGTATTAAATTGTTGGCGAACAAATTTCTTAAGATTAACCGCGTTCTTAAATTTTAGTACACCTGTGAATATCAAAGTAGGCATAATAGACACACTATATAAAAATAATTTGTTTCAACATTAGTTGGAAAATACATTTTCTTTTTAGAGTTATACAAGATTTCAATCTTGGACATTGCTAGATACAGGATTTTTTAAAAAGTGATAATCACCTAAACTCACAATTTTCAGATCTTGATAAGAAATACTTAATTCTGAGGTATCCATGCTAGGTCATTTTTTTAATTATTATTTTTTATTGTGAAAATATCGTACAGAGGGGTTACAATTACATGGGCAAGATAATGAGTACATTTCTTTTATTTTTTGGGGGGGAGGTCCAGTCGTGGGGCCTGAACTCTGGGCCTGGGCGCTGTCCCTCCACTCTTCAGCTCAAGGCTAGCACTTTAACACTTGAGCCACCATGCCACTTCCGGCTTTTTTTCTTTTTGTTTATGTGGTGCTGAGGAATCGAACCCAGGGCCTCATGCATGCAAGGCAAGCGCTCTACCACTGAGCCACCTTCCCAGCCAAATGAGTACATTTCTTATCAAGCATTGTTGCTTCCTCCTTTGTTTCCCCTTCCTATCTCTTCCCATATCCCGCCCCCCCACCTATATCTCCACTCCCCTATCCCCACCACCCCACCCCACCTCCCCACCCCCCGCCAAAGCAAAGTTCATTTTTCAACCTAACGTCTTGTACATCTCATTGTTGCAATGGGTCCACCTGTATCCCTATTTTAAAGTAAAAATGAAACATAAGGAGCATTTTAGATGTTTTCATTTATTAACTACACTTTTATTGTAAACATCTAAGCTTTGATTTATTGCAGCAAATCTGTGCTATCATAGATAAATGTCAGTGGTGACTCAGAGTTTTTGAGACTTCTGAGTTCATTGCAGGAAGGATAGAAAGTAAAGAATAAGCTATTGGGTTTTTACTTCCTTACAGCCCATTCTGTACATATAAGAAAAGGGCAGGGATACTGCTGTGACAGGCATAACATGTTTGAAGCTCCTGTGAGATATGATTCCCTCGTGGTAGCTCAAATGGCCATGGCGAATTGGCCCAAGATGCTGACAGGGATTCTGTGTAGGAATGGTGGCAGATATCCTTCAGGACAATCAGTGTTGCGTTTCAGCTGCTTCTTGCTGGGCATCTTCTCCCCAGGAAGTAAGTTGGCTTTGTGTCCTAAAGTAGAATCTACCAGCATTAAACAGAACCTTTCAGTACTTCCTCTTGTTCTTTGAAATGATATTGTCTTACTTACTGGAAAGGAGAATCCTTTATTGCAAATGATTCAGCTGAAGCAGTGAAGTATTTCCTGCTCTAATCCATGTGTATCATCTCAACACTATGCAATTCCACACGGCAGGGTCAGAGCCAATCAGGTCTGTGATGCAGTCTCTGTGCTACACCACAGTATTTGTATAGTGTGTGTGCGCATGTGTATGTGCATGTGTATGTGCTTGCATGTTTCTGTGAAGGGCTCACCTAGGGCTTTTTGATATCTGCTTTGCAGAAGCTTCGCTAATTCATTCTAGACTGCTATCAAACAGGAGTTCTCATTATTGTTTTTCCTATTATAAGATATCTTGGGGCACCCTTCCATACTTTTCTGCACTATGTCATCGCAATTTTGAAAGAGAAGATAAATCTTAAAGTGCTGATAAAATTTTACCTTAAAATATTATTTGAAAATTTTGTTTTCATTTAACCATAATTTCTTTAGGTATTGTTAGATACTGTTTTTCTTAGGTATTGTTCATTTTAGTAAGAGAATGCTATAATGCCTAATCTAAAATAGAAAAGTAGAATAAATTCTTAAATTTCCGATGTCACCTGTAAGCATTTCTCTTTAATTGAACATCATAAAACAAGAAAAGTCAATGTTCAACCCATTCTTCAGAACCAAAAAGTTTAATTCAGAAGCAAAATACTCTAAGCATTTTTTTTCCTCAGGTTGGATTTGAATTCACTGCTTTTCCACTCATGGACATTGCTACTGGCACAAGCCAAGTGACACTTTCTAGGAGAGGCACATATGGCCCTCTCTCAGTGGCCTGGACTGCTGGATATGCCCCTGGGGTAGAAATCCCTGAACTTGTTGTTGTTGGCAACATGACCCCAGTGCTGGGTGAGTACTAGTTTTTCTAGATCAACCAATAGGGCTGATTGGCCATTTTCTTAGCTCATCCATCCTTAATATTTAACAAAAACTTTAAATTCTTTCATGTTGAACATAGTTAATCTCATAATTAATAAAAATGCTCCCAAATTTTAAATAGTACTCTGAGACTTACATAATCAGAGTTGTTCAGGCTACTTGGGGAGAAGGGGGAAACATTTGTTTCATTCAAATTTAAAACTACAGCCTGTATGTCAAAATAGAGGGCATCATGCAGACTAGTCTGCCATTACATTAAAAGTTTGTTGAAAGTGATTTAAAAACATTATTTACCCCATAGAGAGAGAAAAATTACAGACTAAACTGGATCCTGGTAGCTCACATTTGTAATCCTAGTTACACTTAGGAGGATGAGATTTGAGAATCGCAGTTTGAAGCCAGTCCAGGGAAGGAAAGTCTGAGAGACTCTTATCTCCACTAAATTAGTCCTCCCACCATTTCCTCCTCCCCCCCCCCCCCCCCCCGCCCTGGAAAAAAAAAAAAAAGGAAGAAGAATAAGAAGCCAGAAGTGGAGCTGTGGTTAGAGTACTGAGCCCAGGACTGGCATCAAAAAAAGAAAACACAGATCATTTACATAGTCACTTGAATATTTCTGGGGCAGGAGCTATTCAATCAATTATCTTTTTAAAATGATGCTTTTTGTTTTTAGCGAGTGAGATGCAAATCCTAGATGGTTACACAGCTCATGTGGTAGCAGTTGTAAAGCACCCTTCATGGCTTCATGGTGTGACAGCTGCAGTTCCCCTCCCTCATTTACAGGCCCCATGGTTACCATGTAAATGCTATTTCCTGCCAATCCCAAATCTAATGAGTTCTGTGTAAGAAGTGAGACGTACAGTCTCTTAGTGAGGATGGAGGGATTTTCATTTTCCTCAGGTTTTTAGGAAACTGTTGAATGGAAAAACGGAAGTCCCTTAGAACATGAATGTGGGGGTTAGGGATCATCAAAGTGTCCTTGTTACGACAGCTTCTATCCCAGTTGGAAGTTCAGTACATGTACAGTGTATTTGCATGATGGATTGTAAAACACACCTTTACAAGTCAAGTTCTGCAGCCATTTCACAGAGGCCCTGACCTAATACACAATTGACGTTGATGACTGTACTTTCGTTTTGGCACATCTCCTAAAGATATTTCATTATCTTTTTAAATTTTTTAGTCCTTTTTTTCTGCAGTAGCTTATTTGTTACTTCTCTGGCCTGACATTTTGGGTGATATACTTGGTTCTATGCCATTTTTGATTTTTTTTTGTATTAGCAGCTGATTGTGATAAATGTTTATGATTTTTATGCATGTGTATGTGATTTTATGCTTACATATGGAATTCATTTTCAAAAGTTTTAGTGAATTTTTAATAACTTGATAAAAATAATAACAGTTCTCAAACAATTGATTTGTATCCTCAAATAGGATTGATTTGTTTTTGAGCTATTATAATAAATTTTTAAATCTAAAGAAAATTAAATATGATAAATCTCCATGAACTCTCTGAGGGTAACAGTTGTTGTATTATACATTTTTTCATATGTTTGACCTTGAAGTAATCTTTAGTATAATGTATATATTATGGTATTTTCCCCAAACTATATCAGTATACATCACTAAAAATGATATGGCTAGAATTCAGATCAAAGACAAGTATATATTCAGGTGTTGTACAACACCATTTTCTTGCTACTAGATTTGGTAATTGAACCAAGGTGAGGGGGTGAAGGAATGAAGGAAGAAAGAAAGGAGGAAAGACTAGACAGAGACTGAGGAGATTTCTGTAAATTTCTTCTCCACTTTTGGCCTTATAAACATGCTATCTTTTTGGAGTATAAATTTTTGGAAATATATTTTGTTACATGTTTAAGTCACATTCCAAATTAAGAACCTAAACAATGACACCCTGCCTTTTACTTTCATTTCCTCTCAGGGAGCCTTTCATTTTCCCATGGTGAACGAAGCAAGGGAGTTGTGCTGAGGACATTTCCCCAGCCTGGTCGTCCAGAGGCCTTTGTCCTTCACCTGTCAGGAGTGCAGAGCCGAGTTCCAGGTGGAGCTCAACTTCGGTATGACCAATCTGATTCCAAACCCGACCTTCTCTGAATAATAACCTAGAATGGATCAGTCAAGATAGAAAATGATACAAGATCACCATCCTTAAAGCAGAATCAGCGAGTTCAGTGTAGAACAATAGAGAGGCCTACATTAAGGAGAGTTCCTTAGCCTTCCCTGACTGGCAGAGAACTTATGAGGACTCCAGACTTGAAACAGAGGTTGGGAAAGTTCACCTGATTTTAAAGGGTACTGTCTTCTAGAAGCAGCTGAAAACACCTGATTTATCCAAGTCATTAAGTATAAAGATAAGAGCTGGGCACTGGTGGCTCATGCTTGTAATCCTAGCTACTCAATTCGCTAAGATCTGATGATTGTTGTTTGAAGCCAGTCCAAGCAAGAAAATCTGTGAGACTCTTATCTGTATTTAACCACCACCACCAAAAAAAAGAAAGCAAAAAGAAACCTGAAGTAGAGCTGCCGCCCAAGTGGCAAGATTCTAGCCTTGAGCAGATATAGGAAAAGGATCACATTAGGATAATAGGATAATGTTATTACTTAAAACAAATGGCTTTCTAAATTTAATATAATTTAATTTAAATTTGCTATTTATTTGTAATAGCTATTTATATGAACCCAGTATATTTTCAGCCAAATCTGATTCAATGTAAAGATATTACTTTTTCTTAAACCTAGTACATGCTTGACCAGAGGGCAAGTCTGAGAGCCATGCTTCATAATGTGTGTTCAGATTTGTCTACATATAAATTTGTATTTCTAAAATCTTTTAACCAAAGAACATATTTCTGTTTTCAGAATTTTATGGTGATCATGACACATAATCTCTGCTATTCACAACAAAGACCCACAAGAAATAGCTCAGCATAAATTGCTCAACCATGGATGCTTTCTTCACACTCATGCATAGTTTTAGTTAGATTTATGTAAAAAAGTATTTCCATTAACACTACCAGGAGGAAGCAAGAATTTTGATACCAGTTCTGGAAATATGTCTGTTTGGTAAATAAGAGAGCTGGTTTGTGTCTAGAGCACCAGGGGGAATTCAGCCCTCTTGTATTGATATAGGAGAGATCCTAGTGCTTTAGTGTCTCCCATAGCTGCTCCAAGGTGAAACCGAAGTGGAGAGCTCTTCATTCAACTAATACACACCAGGTCCTATCTGTGCTACTCCAGTCCTGCTCATTTCTTGCACCCTTGCTTAGCAATATATAAGTGGGCATTAGGGAGCTTACTTAGTTTCTAAGTTGCTTCTTTCATGAGCAGTATCTTAAATATGATGTGAGAAGACAATGCAGTGTTAATCCTATTGTTAAAGCAATTCTCATAATATCATATTTTTCCAGATCAGGCTTCACTACTGTTGAAATTGAACCAATGGGAATCTTCCAGTTTTCCCCTAGTTCAAGGAGCATCACAGTGTCAGAGGACACGCAGATTATCAGATTACATGTGCAGAGACTGTTCGGTTTCCACAGTGATCTTATTAAAGTTTACTATGAGACAAAGGCTGGAAGTGCCAAGCCACTGGAAGACTTTGAGCCGGTTCAGAAGGGGGAAGTGTTTTTCCAAAAGTTCCAACCTGAGGTTGATTTTGAAATAACCATCATCAATGATCAGATTCCTGAGACAGAAGAAGAGTTTTACGTTAATCTTACTTCAGTAGAAATTACAGGATTACGAAAGTTTGGTGTTAATTGGAGACCACGCCTGAATCTCAACCTCAGTGTTGCAGTGATTACAATATTGGACAATGATGACATCATGGGAACAGATATTTCCATGCCTACAGCAGCAGCCAACCCTACCACGCTGACTCCTGTAGAAACTGGCTCCCTCACATATCCTGGCACAGACAGGGTAACTGCCATTCAACATACCACAGAGGTGGTTGTCATTGTTACTGAGGCAATCAGTGAATCTATCACCCCTGAGAAATTTGTCACCCTTCCTGGTCCATCAGCCATGCCTGAGAAGCCCGATGCAACTATTGGAATGGAGAATGCATTTGATGCTTTCATGCATGGGACTTTTAGCCTAACCCCCCCTATTGTTTATGTGGATGAGGAGATGAAGAATGGCACATTCAGTGCTGCAGAAGTTCTGATCCAAAGGGCCGGTGGGTTTACTGGCAATGTCAGCATCACGGTTAAAACTTTTGGCAAAAGATGCGCTGGGGAGGATCCCAACGTATTGCCTTTTCAGGATGTCTATGGAGTCGCCAACCTAACATGGGCGGTTGAAGAGGAAGACTTTGAAGAACAAGCACTTAGCTTTACATTTCTAGATGGAGAAAGAGAACATACAGTGTCCGTTCCCATTCTGGATGATGACGAGCCTGAGGGGCAGGAATTCTTCTACGTGTTTCTCACAGACCCTCAAGGGGGAGCGCAGGTTGCAAAGGGAAAGGATGATGCTGGGTTTGGAGCTTTTTCCATGGTTATTATTTCAGGTAATTCTTGCATAAGTACTTTTGTGGTACAGACTTGCAAAAAGATCAGTCTATCTTGAAGTGAATCTAAGAAGGATGAATTATTTCTGTCCTTCATGGTAATTTATTGAAAAATACCCTTTCCCAAAGCATGAACTTATGACATGAAATTATGCTATTGTTTTCGAGTGCAATTTAACTGGATTCATTAAGCTCATACCCAGTTATACTATCTTTAAGGTTATACTTCTTTTCAAACGTAATCTCTGCCAGTTATGTTGCCCCACAAGTTTACAGCACTTGGAATTAATACCATTTATTCATGTCCCCACAGTTCATTGAGAACATTGTCATTTGAATTCACTTCTGTAAGTGATTTATATTGGCTTACTATCATCTACATATTTCCACTAAAATTAATTTGGAAGCTAACATTCTATCTTCATTCTGTGATACAGGTATTTGATTGCAGTGATTTAATATGATCAGGACTGAGGGACTCATGATTTTGGAGGTATTATGGTAGAGGTAGGAAATGATAGAGCAGAGCAGTTTATGGTGGCCAGAAAGTAGCGACGCATAAAAGAAGGAGCCAGGACAAGATGTTGTCCCCAAGGACATGCTACCAACACATCCACCAACTAAAACTTACCTTTTACTTCTCATCATCTCTCAATAATGCTACCCTATTGTGAGTCTTTCAGAGCATTCATACATCCTTTCATTCTTTAAGTTAGAGCCCTCATAATCTAATCCTCTCCCAAAACACTATTCGGATACATAAATGTGATTTCCTCATCTCCTAGGAGCCTCTAAATCCAACTGAGTTGCTAAACAAAAATAACCATCACAATTTCTAGACATTCTTGTCTCTTATCTGATGTAATTCAGATAACCACACCCCCAAGCCCCATTCACATGGTCATATCCTGAGTTCCTTTATTCTTCCTGAAAATATTCCCCTCATCTTTTTCCCATTTGACTCATGTATAATAATATCTCTGCTTTAAGGATTTTTTTTACTTTTCTGATTCCTCTTATCTTTAATCTACATCTTTTCAATTTTGAGATTTTAGAAGACACTATCCACATAAATAGAGGAGGAATTGGTTTATTTAGTTTTGATCTTGATCCACATTAGAAGACTCAGATCACTAGACTAGAAATGTGACTTAAATTTATAGCTGCAGATGTGGCAAAGGGAAATATTGTTTTCATTAGACTTATGCTAGTTTCTGTTGTCCTAAAATAGAGGTTTATAAGCTACTTGGGGAGAGCATATTTCCTCCCAAGATAATGAGGAAACAATTGCCAACAAGAAGGAAGAGTCAACTTTGGGTTTCTGAGGCCAGGTAAGGAAGTGATTTCAATGATTATTTAGTTGGTAAGACTAAGAATCAAGAGCAGAAGACAAAGTTCAGTGAGGCAACAGGAAAAACATAGCCTTCCCATTCAGGAATACACAGCATCTGCAATACATAAATAGGCTCCATATTTACAGTACATTTTATAGCTAGGAAATAGGCCAGGGGCTGGTAACGTATCTCTCTTCTATTATGACAGATATTTTTGTTCCCCTACACTGACCTACTTAAGAAATTCTATGTTCTTCAAACCTGGAGAATTAGGTTTCTGGGTGATGGACTCAAGCATTATTTGAAGCTGATTGCTTTAGAAACTCTCCTTCTAGGAAGCAAGAAACAGCTGAGACTCTTCATTGCTATTTATCTAGGTCAGAAAGTTCACTGGTATGCTTGTCAGGACTTGAAATGACTGTCTCAGTGTAGTCTAAATCTGTTTTGTTCTAGTTTAAACGTACTTCTTAGTGTGATAGTTCCTATAATCTCAAGTGAGTCTATGGCACTGACATGCTTTGGAGTTCCTAAAAAGTTCTGTTTTCTTCTTGGACACCTCATTGGATGTGTAACAAACTATCTTTTGGTTAGTCTACTTATTATGAGGATGAATCAGTGAAGTGGAATTCATTATTCAACAGTGTTTATGAAATGCTCACTCACCTGGGCACTCTTTTTAGTTTTGGAAACATGGAAGTACATAAAACAGATTCTGCTCTAGTAGAACTTGCACCCTTGCAAGTAAACACTGACTTTAAATACACAAGCACAGAAAAAAAATCACATGGCATCAATTGTAAAGTAAGGTCTCATTAGAGGGAAAGGCCTCTGGATGTCAGCGTTAGTTGGTGGGGTCCGATGCTTCTTTTTGAGTGGTCTTCTATTCTCAAACTGTTTTCTATTTCTATGTTATAATTTTGGAATCTAATTTAGTAAAGATTTCACACACTGTTGCTCCCTCCTCTCACTTGTGGATTTCTCACTTTTATATTCTCTGAGCTGGCAAGATCACTGGAACATTGGCGAACCTGTAAATTCTTAAATCCGTTACCGCCTCCTTTCTCCTTGTAGGGAGTGATCTTCACAATGGCATCCTGGGCTTCAGTGAGGAATCCCAGAGGGGCCTGGAACTGGGGGAAGGAGCTGAAAGAACACAACATCTTGTTGTCACAAGGCAGCCAAACAGGTGTGTGTGTGTGTGTGTGTGTGTGTGTAAAACACAACATCCTGAGTGTCGGCATAGTATTCAATTGGAATTCATACAAGGCAGAATGAAATGTGAGCAAAAAGAAGTATAGGATTTGATGTGTAGTACTGAGATGCTGTCATCTTTGATCTGTGATATATTTTGCCCACAGTCTCAATGTAGGGTTGTCTCAGATGTGTTGTGAAGCACAACAGTTATGTCAGATTAGGTAGGCCATCCATCATCTGATCGTATTCGCTACTTTCTGGTGACTTTGGACATATGGCCCTTATACTCCATGGGAGACTAGGAGTGACAACACTGTGGATCTAACCTAATTAGAGCAAGCAACATATTAGTATGTTCTCTCAAGTGCCCACCTGTATGCACACATACATTTATAGATGTGATACATTGCCCATTCAGGGCCTATTTTAGTCATTTGCTCTTTATTTTTTTACAAATTTAGTCATTTTTAGGAGCAGTGTTCTTCTAGAGAAATTCTTACTAAAAGACAAATGAAAACCATTTCCTTGAAGTCAGGGGTTTTCTACATTTTTTACATTTGTGGTACTTAATAGGTAGAAAAGTATATTTCTCACGTTCTTAACATAAAATCCTTTGACAAACAGCTATTCATTACTGAAGAGAATATCATCAGAAATAGTAATATAGATCATTAATTTCTTATCTGTCCTGAGGGAAGTTGTTCATTGTTAGAATGATAAGTTACATGGTGAGTGCTGCCTGTGAATAAAGAGGCACAATTTGCCTCCATGGCAGCATTCTTTTATACACAATGTGGGATAGTCTGCCATGTTGTTCTCATGGGTTTGCTTTGTTCACAGGGCATATGAAGACGTCCAGGTCTTTTGGAGAGTCACATTTAACAAAACAGCCATCATTCTCCAGAAAGAAGAGGCAAACCTAATGGATGAACTTTTGTTTGTGTCAGGAACCACAACCTGTATCATGGGTCAAACACAATGCCTTATCACGCTTGAGCTCAAACCAGAGAAGGTGAGAAATGATGGGACATCATTCATTCCAGCAAGTTTCAGTTGTGTTTCTTTTGACATAATCATTGTAAGACCAGTGTATTGAAATTTGCACACCATTTGGGTAGAAATGACACCTAGATATCTAAATTGCCTTGCTGGACCACAGAAATTCATCATAACATGATGAGTTCGTGTAAACAAAATTATTATATTTGTTTTTGCCATGTCTAGATTGCTGCTGGCCAAGCTGTATGTGGTGTTCATTCTCCTTATGTCATTTTTTAGCCAGATTAGCATCTTTGCTTACTTCTGAATGTAAAATTGTTCTTATCTATCGTATCCATCCACACATCATTTAATTAGTATATACATGGAATACTTTTCATTTTCTCTTCATGTATACTGAGAGAGTATAAATTTGGTTACTAGAAGGGGCAGAGAGGTGCTGACCTTTGCAAGCCTTTGGGTCATTGTCTATGGGTTCACTGAGAGACAGGCGTTCCTTCTCTCTAAGGGAATATGCAATATTCAAATGCTGATGTCAGTGAGGACTTAGAGTTTTCTGAAGTATTTAATAATAATGGGTAGCTTTGTTCTTGGTCCTATTCTGTGATTCTCCAAATATTTTAGTGCCCAAAGAACAGTCAATAGTATTTGACCTTTAACTACTGCTTATTTAGTAAACTCATATATTTAATATAAAAACTAGCCACCAGTTATGCACATTCAAGAGTACAGTAGGTTTGTTGTTCATGTTGCATACATTAAACAGCAGACAAAGTACAGACCAATACATTTTCTTCAGGATATTTAATTATGCTCGGGTTTACTTTAAAAAAGCAACATTGTTAGTTTGGCAATTTTTTCTTGTTTTTCTCATAATTGCTATACTTGTCTTTTGAGAATCAGAAAAGTACATAACAATAATACTTTTAAGTTAGAATTTAATAGTCATATTTTTAAGGCTACACACATGCCTGTTTTCATATCTTTTGGGGATTCTAATAGTTTTGCTCATTCCAAAAGAGAAAGAATACTCATCTGTGGTCACTGTTCTCAGCGGGGCTGTGGGGGCTGTTTCAAATGGAAAGTGCTGGTCAGCTGATTGGTGTTGGTACGCTACTATGTTTTTACATTTATAACTTTCTCGTTAATTTTCTCAATCAAGCTTCTTTCAGAGTTTCATTCTTTACATTTTTCAATGCCAGTAGTCAGTTCAAGATTGAAGAAGAGTGAACCGCTCTGTTAGTAATATTAAAAATATGTGCCTGACTTGTTCATTGATGGTTTTACCTGGAAGGAAAAACCAGAGGCTTCTCCTAAGGATGAGATAACAAATCTGCACCATTCCTCTACCAATTTAGCTCATTTGCTCTGTCCAGTTGCAAAAGATGCAATCATTGGCTATTTTTCTGCCTCATTGTTTCACAATCCACAATGCAATTTTTTGCTTTTCCTAGAAATAATTTCTGTATTCACATTTCTGTTTCTTAGCCTCTTCCTATTTGTATGCAAAGAGAGTAATGTTCAGTTTGGGTTAATAGAAGGCCCACAAAGTTGTGGTATGTCAACACTCTTCCATACACTGATTAATAAACTAGTGCACCCTACTAGATTCATGTTCATAATACAATACTTTTATATTACAATAACATTTATCCTTTCACTATTGAAGAATTCCATCTTGCATTTTAATTACTTACTAAATGGCTTTCTTTTTGAAACTCTGATAGTCATCTCTTGGCCATTGAATGTCTCAGGAAGTTGATGTTTTGTTCTTTCAGTACTGTTTGAAATTCTCTGAGGTATGTCTGCTCTTGAGCACTGCATATTCCAGAGCCATTGAAGAATTTTCCTAATCTAAGTCATACAGTCAACTACCATTTGATTAATTTTTTGATAGAGCTCAAAACCTATAAAGTAGAGCTATGAATTACAGTTGACAGCAGGCAAATGTGCTGTTATTACGGCCACTTTAATGATGAGATTTGGTTGTTGTTGGGGTTGTTTGTGGTTTTTTTTTTTTTTTTTTTTTTTATATTTGGTGGTACTGTGTTTGAGCCATAATTCTTCCAAACTCTGTCTCCCAAGTGGCTGAGATTACAGACATGAGTGACTAGTACCCTGGACCAAAAAAAAAAAAGTATTGAATTTCCAATTTTTACATAGTTTCCAATTTACTATACTATATTCTAGTATTTTATGATTTTTAAGTGAGATTTCTATTGGCTCCTAAAGTTTTCTATCACATTGACAGTGAGAAACTGAAATTTCTATATTCAAGATATTTGAATCCATTATGCTTAAATCCTTTGATTCTATTAAACACTTAAATCCTGTGCATTTCTTCTAAATATTTTTATTCCTTCCTAAACAAGTATATGCTAAATTTTTCCTAAATATAGATCTTCTTTAGTGATTAATTAAAACACCAGTTCCTCATAAGACCTGAATTTAAAAAAATTGTCAGTACCTTTCTTATGGAAGTTATCAGTTATAACCAGTCTTGTTCCTACTATTCACTGCCACCTGTTTGAAAGTTAGAATATATTTTTGTTTGTCTTTGTCCCTTCTTACCATGCTCCATGAATATATGCTCCCTGCAGACTGGCCCCAAAGAAATCCATTGTGTAATTCACCAAAATAGCTGATTTGAATCTTAGGCATACCTCAGAACACTTAAAACTTGTGTCCATACAAGGGATGTCAGCTAGAGAAAATCTTTGGAGATAAATGTCTACATTAGCCTTTTGATGATTGGAATCTTATGAGGCCATTTCTTCATATTCAGAGAAGAAAAATTTTGCAGACAGGAAATGCCTTCTTTGTGACAGCAACCAGTGAAATCAGCTAAAGATCTTAAAAGATAGAGGTAAATTGTAATGCCTTCATACAGTTTGAAGGAAGCTGACTTGAAGTGGCAATGGGGGAGGCAGTATTGTGTGTGTGTGTGTGTGTGTGTGTGTGTGTGTGTGTGTAATGGAAGCCATGAAACTGGTCTTGGACAAACTGGACAAGGAAGATAGGTAAATTAATGTCATAGGATTAAGAAAGGACTTCTTGAGTCAAGTTTGTCCTTCTCACAGGGAAAAAGAGAATCTCCAGACCCTGCAAATATATGATTAAGCAGTAAGATAAGCCCTTCCTCAACGTTGATATTTCTAATATTCAGAATAGGTAAGAACCCAGTCTGTGAGAATCCAATGGCTTTTATAATCATTGCATCAATGTTAGTGATAAAGAGTTTATCAAAATATCTATTTTGAACATGACAATATTATTCACAGACTTATGCCTCTAACTAATGAATAATGGTGATATCCCCTTACCTCAGCCTAGTCTCTGTACAGAGGGGTTACAGTTACATGAGTAAGGTAATGAGTACATTTCCTATGGAGCATTGTTACCCCCTCCTTTGTTTTCCCCCTACCATCCCTTCCCAACCTCCCCAACTCCTTCCTCCCCCACACCAAGTTGTAAAATTCATGTTTAACATAGTGTCTTGTGCATTTCATTGTTCCAATGGATCAATCTGTATCCTTATTTCAGCATTTTGCTCTTTCCCTTTCCCTCCCCAAATTAGGAAAGTGTATATACGAGATGCAGGGCACCAGAATCAAATACAGTGACAACAGGGGTTATACCATGGGGGAAGAACATACAAAAGATAAAACAAACCACACAGTATATTTTAAATACATTAAAAAATAACAGCAACAAAGATAAAACTTCTTCTGTCCCCTTCTTGAGGTTCATTTCTCTCAGCATCATCTTACATGGTCATACGTACATAGCTTTTGACCTTTTCTGCCTGTTCTAGACATATACTAGTTATTGCAAATAAGGGAAACCATGGGACCTATGTTTCTTTGGGCCTGGCTTACTTCACTTAATATGATTTTTTCCAAGTCTTTCCATTTTCTAACAAATGGAGTGGTGTCATTCTTTCTGATGAAGGCATAGAATTCGATTGTGTGTGTGTGTATGCATATATATATATACCACATTTCCTTGATCCATTCATCTACTGAGGGGCATCTGGGCTGGTTCCATATCTTAGCTATGGTAAATAATGATGCAATAAATATAATTGTGCTGGTAGTTTGTGATCAGTTGGGTAAATGCCCAAAAGTGGGATTGCTGGGTCATAGGGGAGCTCTATGTGTAGTCTTTTGAGGAACCTCCATAGCGCTTTCCAGAGTAGTCAAACAAGTTTACACTCCCACCAGCAATGCAGTAGGGTTCCCTATGGCCACATCCCCTCCAGCATCTCCAGCCTAGTCTCTTGAACTTCAACTTTCAGTACTTTTTACTCTATTCTCTTTCTAATGATCATTTCTGCAGTTATTCTCTAATTTTCAAATTGTGAAGAATTTAAATCACTTGTCTAGCCAATTACTACAAGAAGGTTAGATCCTATCTTTAGAATTCCAGTACACTTTCTCTTTGCCCACTGATCTATTTTATGGTCCTATATTAACAAAACAGTTAAGGTGATAATTAAATTAGAGGCAATCTATTAATAAAAACTGTTAAAATAACCAGTAGACATTTGTGCATTTTTTCAAATATTAGCTATCAATTATGAGCTCAGGAAAGATTATTTTACACTAGCTGTGGCAAAAGATCACTCTGGAATAGATCTGGCCTGGCTAGGAAAGGGCTTCTGGGTAGTTACACTTGGAGTGGGACTTTGTGAGACCTCCAGTCATGATTAGAAGTGCTGGTGAAGCTCAGATGCGATCTGTGGGTCTTGGTTTCCCAGTAGACTTCAAGAATGACATTTGAAGAGAATATTTCTTTGTCTGACTCAAAGATTCCTTTTGTCTCTAGTCTAATTATGTACAGGCACCCATCTGTACACTATTCAATTTTAGATGGTTCTTTACTTAGATCATAGCATATTCTTTGACTGTAAATGGCTGTAAGCACGATTCTCATCATCATCACAATGGAAAAGAATATTTTACAGGAAAATAAAGACAGGAGCCTTTATTGGAATATAATATGCTGAAATCTTCAGTTAAAAGAAACTATTATGAATCAGGCTTACTTAGCCATTAGGGAATAACAGCTCTTGCTACTGCTTCCATTCCTGGTATTTGCCAAATATAGCTCCTCAAAAGTGGGAAGAGTGAGTGCAGTTCTTTCCGTATTTCCATATTTACTGACAGAAAAATCAGCAAAAGTGAAGAGTAATCTGCCACAGGAAAGCCAAACAGATTTCTTCAGGCAGCACAGTAAGAGGGAGTATTTCTTGTGTGATAAGGATATGACTTATTTGGGGAATCCAGAAGGCTTTGTTGTCTCATTTCATGACAGTCATGATCATTGAAAGGATCACAGGTCCTAAATGCTTCCTTGTTTCAAATCACAGTATAAAACATGCAGCTGAAACACTTCAGCTTAGCTTTCTTGGTTTAGCCAGGATGCAAGTAGCACTTTGAAGGTTCTTCAACTTTCATTGTATAAGAGCAAGCCATCAGTAAAATGAGGTGATTGACATGTGTTGTAAGGCTGAATTCAGGTTCTGGAAAATCAAATATTGAATACTGTGGAGAAATACCAAAGGTGGAATGTGAACATACCACAACTAGTAGAACCAACTTAGATTCATTCCATTCTGAATTTTGTGAAAATTAGAGAACAATGTGAAATTATAAAATTGGCTATTATTGATATTTGGTTATACTTATTTAAAACATCTTAAAAATAACAATGTCATCAATATAAAATCTTGCCAAGCTGAAACCCTTTCCCTCTGTTTCCCAGTATAATAAGAACACACAAAGTCACTCCCTGTCCTGGCTTCTATCTGACATCTCTACTTAGACAACAGTGGACATGTGTGTGCTATTTTCCTTTGTTTTTGACATTTGCATAAATCTCTATTGCAATTACATATCACCAATATAAATTGTATGTAACTTGTACTTTTATATGTAGGATATCTTTCTATATTCAGCTTTATGAAAGTTTACACTTTTGGATGTAGCCCTGTTTTGAGATCTACCTCTGGTAAAAAATATTGAACAAATAAGTTCTTTTCAGATACTTCATACTATTCTAGTATTTCAATGCATTTTGCTTATCCATGTGTTCACTGAATACGCACAGGTTATCTCTGGATGGTAATCCCCCAGTAATAAACTCACCTAAACTATACATTTACATATATATATACACACACACATATATACATTATATATGTTTTCTTATGTGCAAAGAGTATGGGATATATTTGTAGTACATAGTCACACCTATAATGTTTGTGTGATTCATATTAGTAATAATTGTATACCTTCCTTTTGCTCACTGGCAGATACCCCAAGGTGAAATGGATTTTTTTGTTGAGCTATATGAAGTAACTTCTGGAGCAGCAATAAACAACAGTGCTAGATTTGCTCAGATTAAAGTTTTACAGCATGATGAACCTGGAAGCCTCATGTATTTTTCTGTGGGTTCTCGGCTGGCCGTGGCTCAGAGGAATGCTACTTTGATCAGCTTGCAGGTGTCCAGAGATTCTGGGACACGGTCAATGATGTCTGTGAGCTTTAGTACCCAGGTAAGCATGGAACAAATAGTTGTACAAGTAAAGGTTTTCTTCTTTAACATACAGTACATGTCTTGAAACAGTATTTGATACACTATTTTCTGAGGATACCATTATAACTCTTTTTTTTTCTTCTGTTGGTTGTGGGGTTTGAACTTAGGGACTAGGTGCCATCCCTGAGCTTTTTTGCTCAAGGCTAGCACTTTACCACATTGATCCAAGTTCCACTTCCAGTTTTCTGATGGTTAAGTGGAGATAAGATTCTCAAAGGCTTTCCTGTCCGGGCTGACTTTGAACTGCTGTCCTCAGACCTCAGCCTGTCCTCAGTCTGTCCTCAGACTTCAGTAGCTAGGATTGCAGGCATGAACCATCAGCACTTGACCATCATCAGTCTTATCTGTCTGTCTGTCTATCTATCTATCTAATTTATTGTAGATATTGGGCTTGAATTCAGGGCCTAGGCATTATCCTTGAGCTTTTTGTGTTCAAGGCTAGTACTCTACCACTTTGAGATAAAGCTCCACTTCCAGTTTTCTGGTGGTTACCTGGCGATAAGAGTCTCACGGACTTTCCTGCCTGGTCTGGCTTTGATCTGTATCCTCATATCTCAGCCTCCTGAGTAGCTAGGATTAAAGGTATGAGCCACCAGAGCCCAGTGTAACTCTAATTTTATTTACTACACTAATTCTTATATTTGCAATGTGTCATTTTATTCCTTACCAGTAATAGATTATGTTTAAAATGATAAAAAAAAGTTATCTCTTCCTTTGTTTTGACAATTAATCCAGTTACTCATCCAAGCTGACTGCTGGATGTGAATGTTCATTCTCTTTAATTTCTCAGCCAACATTGAATTCATGAAGAAGTCCTAATGATTCTACATTCAAGATGTACCCCCAGACTGAGTTTGTCTACCCTCCCTATTCAAGTGTCCCTCAGACATGTTACCACTGATTCTTGTATGAACCACTGGCAAAAAATGTCTTTTTTCCTGCCTCAGTTGTTCTTCTCTGCTGAAGTCTAACATATATCCAATACCTTTAACTCTCATGAGAATATTCAATGACTCTTCTTGACTTGACTTTTCTTGTGTTGTCTGTCTTCCAGCCATGATAGACCCTTTGGTCTGACCTCTTCCACCTCTCTCACATTCCTCACCAGCATCTCCTTCTCCTACTCACACTGGCCCTCTTCTCCACCTCCTTTTCCTCGTCTTCCTCCTCTTTCTTATCCTCCTCCTCCTCCTTCTTCTTCCATGTGGAGAGGATTCTCACTTCAGTGACATTGTGATTTCTGTTCTCCCTTCTGGAATACTTTTCCTGAGACGCGGGTGGTTCTTGATCGTTGACTTTGTGGAGCTCTCTGTTCAAACACCACATTTGAGATCCTGTATTTAGCGCAGTCTGCAGCTGCGCTCTCACTATCAGTTTGCATTTCCTTGCTTTATTTTTCTTCATAGAACTCCATTTAACAAAACAACAAATTCCCTAGCATTGTTTTCTCTGGATCCTCTGCCACAACAGTAGCTTCTCTGTGTGCAGGTGTTGTGCTTGCTGTGTGACTGTGCAGCTGTATTATGCCACCTGGGGTATCTTAGGAGGAATTTACCAGTTGTTGGCTCAGTAATAAATGAATGGATACCCTCTCTCATTTCTTGCTGGACTAAGCATCCATGTTGTACTTTCAAGGAGCCTTTGTAATAACTATAATTTGAAAAAAACTCAGAGGCACATACATTTATTTTCTTTTATGTATATATATATATATATATATATATATATATATATATATAGTGAAAATACCGTACAGAGGGGTTACAATTACATGAGCAAGGTAATGAGTACATTTCTTATCAAGCTTTGTTGCCTCCTCCTTTGTTTTCCCATACCATCCCCTGCCACCAGCTGCCCCCCTTCCCAGCCCTGAGCCAAAGTTGTAAAGTTTGTTTTTTGGCATAACGACTTGTACATCTCATTGTTGCAATGGGTCCACCTGTGCCCCTATTTAAACAATTTGTTTTTTCCCTTCCCCTCCCCAATTATTCTCCTTCCTCCTTGCCCTCTGTCTCCTTCCTATTCTCCATATTCCAAGAGAATGAAGATGTCAGTAATCCCCCTTTTGCACCACTGTTTTGTAGCATGTATACTTAGAGCACAAAGTTTAGTGTGTTCATTGTGTTCATTATTGCAGAAATGTTGCAAAGCAATCCTAACATTCATTTCCTAGCTGTTATGCTTGATTCATTCATTCTAAGCCATTGATGCTTCTAACCTCAACACTGTGTGGGTTGCATGTATTTCTCTGACTTGTCTAAGTAACTAGAATTGGTTTAAAACTCCATGCTTTTGTGGCAGTGTCATTATGGCCCATCAGTTTTTTTTTAAACAGAAGTAGAACTTTTTTCTTAAGACATGAGAACTTACTGGTGTGATGAGAGGTATGTCAGTCTCATCTAAATGTTCTCATTTACTTTCCAGGAGTTGAGGAGTGCTGAAACCATTGGTCGTACTCTCTTATCTCCAGCTGTTCCTGGGAAAGATTTTGTGAAAACCGAAGGCACACTAGTCTTTGAACCTGGCCAGAGAAATGTCATGTTGGATGTCATCTTAACACCAGGCACATCATCTTTAAGTCCATTTCCTAAACGCTTTCAGATTGTGCTCTTTGACCCAAAAGGTGGTGCTAGAATTGATCATGCCTACGGGTTGGCCAATATCACCCTTGTCTCAGATGCAGATTCACAGGCCATGTGGGAGCTAGAGGACCAGCTCCACCAGCCCCTGGATGAAATCATTCTTAACAGGGTGCTTCACGACATCAGCCTGATAGTGGCCACAGAGAGCACGGATGAACAGCTCAGTGCTGTCTTGCATTTGATAGAAAAGGTAAGAAGTCCTTGCCAGTGTGAGGACTTGATGGAGAAAATTTTAAGAGTGGAAATGCCAAACCTAAACAAAAGCCACATTCTGTTATCATGTCGGTTGCTATGGAATCATGGCATGGCTAACTTTTCAAAATAAGAGTAGCATGTATGACGTCTGACTCTTTACTTCCTTTGGATGAAACCGCTGCCTGTATGACACCCTCGTTTTAAAAGCTGGGAGTGATGGGTGAGCTCATACAGCAGGAAGGGCAACGCAAGTCTGAACAGCAGCAGACACAGGAGACACCTGTTCTCTGTGACTTGCCTGAAACTGGCTAGTGATTATCTTTTGCATTTGATCTTCAGGTTATTAAGTTATTATTATTATTATTTGGTCAGTCGTGCGGCTTGAACCCTGGGCCTGGGTGCTGTCCCTCAGCTCTTCAGCTTAAGGTGAGCGCTCTACCACTTGAACCACAACACCATTTCCAGCTTTCTGGTGGTTTATTGGAGATGAGAGTCTCATGGACTTTCCTGCCTAGGCTGGTTTTGAACTGCAATCCTCAGATCTCAGCCTCCTGATTAGCTAGGATTACAAGCGTGAGCCACTGGCCCCTGGCTTATGTTATTTCTTAATTTTTTTTAATCACCTCAATACTCTTTGCAGTAGAAATGGTATGCTATAGGAACTATTACCTTCTGTTTGCCTTCTGCTTTCCTGGATACTAAAAGCATTCACAGGAAAAGAGGGTTGTAGGCTGGGTGCGGGTGGCTCACGCCTGTAATCCTAGGTACTCAGGAGGCTGAGATCTGAGGATCGCAGTTCAAAGCCAGCCCAGGCAGGAAACTCCATGAGACTCTTATCTCCAATAAACCACTAGAAAACTGGAAGTGGCGCTGTGGCTCAAGTGGTAGAGCACTCGCCTTGAGCTGAAGAGCTGAGGGACAGCAGCCAGGCCCAGAATTCAGGCCCCATGACCAGAAAAAAAAAGAAAAAGAAAAAGAAAAAAAAGATGTTTCTTGTTAAGATATTTCTTATCAACATTATTTACAGACAAATATAAGAAGTTTTAGTAGACACGTATGTATTTAGGTATTCAAAATATTATCAATGGGTTTTGAAATGTCATACCTATTTTACTATATGGTATCCCTAAATAGATAATGCTTGAAGTACAGAAAAAAAAATTATAGGTAAGGAGAAGAGGCCATGTCAAACTGCTTGTACAGCAAAGAGAAATACTGCTATTTCATGTAAAGAATGACCTAGATATAGTAGCTTCTATCAGGAAGTATTATTTCTTAATTTCCTAATGACAGAGTGGCATGGAACAAAGGCAACTTGATTTTGGCCAAGAAGAGCCTAGTAACTACATGTTAAAGTAGGAAAGAGAACTTTGGGCTAGTTGGTCACACCTGGAATCCCAGCAATTCAAGGGGCAGAGAACAAAAGGATTGTAGGTTGAGGCCAGCCTCATCAAAAAGAAGCATGACTCTACCTTGATCCATATGGCTGGATGATGTCCCAAATTTGAATCATGGTATTGAAAGTGTGTGTGTGTATGTGTGTGTGTATGTGTGTGTGTGTGTGTGTGTGAGAGAGGGGGGGAGGGAGAGAAAGAAAGCGAGAGAGAAATGGGAAAGGAAAGAGGAAGGACAGGGAGAGAGAAGTGAGTGTTTTAGAGAGTTAAAAAGAAATCTGGGCACTTTTTCACAGTATATATATATATATATATATATATATATATATATATATATATATATTACTTTTTCCATATATGATTATTTTCTCAGTATATATTATTGGTTAGGAATTAGTGCTTATTTCAGGAGAGTGATTTAATGGGGCATCTTATTATGATACATTTTGATTTCTGTGCTGTACTGAACAGAAATGCCCTATTTCCTTGAAGTTTGAGTAAATGTTTGGTCACGTATAGTTCTTGGGTCACACACAGCTGTTAGTGTTTGCGCATGATGGACACTAACAGGCATTGTGTTCAAGAACCACAGTATGGTATGGAACATTTGTTCAAATACATGTGTGGCAAGAATACTTCCTTTGGCATCACTTCTTAAAAAAGAAAGTTGGAGAATTAAGAGTTGTTAGGAAGGGCCTGGGCCATAACAATGCAATGGAGCTGAACATTTCTATTGCCTAGTAGTTTTGTTGAGATACACAAATAATGAGATGAATATAATGAGACACACAAAGACTCTGTGTTACAGTTGTTTAAAGTGCTCAGTGCAGGAACAAGTTGTGCAGGTTTGTAGCAGCCATCAGCTGTACATACCTTAGTGTGTCAAGGCTATATTAGTGAGTTTGTAGAAGTACACATTAATGATATAATGATGTAATTGCCTAACAACAGACCTTTCAGAATGTGTTTCCATCAAAGTGATGCAAGATAATACATACTTTACCCTAGACTGAAAAAGAAGAGCACTTAAGATCTAGATGGTCAAATATAGATGAGGTTATAAAATTTAGCCAATAAAAATAGAAGATAGCTATAGATTAGGAATTTCTAGACAGAATTTGGCTGTGTAAAATTTACATTTTCCTAGGCCAGACACGATTTGACCAAACTTATTATGAAAGTTGTCAGATGCCTTACTAACAATCTCCGTCCTTAAAACTCTGCTGCATTTAATATTCTAATTTTCAGTTTGGTCAGGTTTAGTTTCATGGTTATTGAAGCTTGGTAGACATGAGTCAGAAGGCCTCATTTTGTATTCTGGAACACATGAAGGGTGAGAGAAATGACATGTGTGAAAGTTGATAGGCCATCCTTACTTCCTAAGACCTCCTCTTTTTCATTTCTTCCCTGTGGCTGAGTCAGGTCCTCTCTTTGTTTATGAGGCAATTTGGATAATTTTGTGATTTTTTTTTTAGTTGGTATAGGGTGGCCTTTTCGAGCCAGAATCTCTATACTTTTTAATATTTTATCTTTTATAGCCAATTTTATCTTTTATAACAACCACTAAGGTTGTTGTTATTTTGTGGTATTGAAATTTGAAATCAGAGATGTTTACTTGCCAGTCCCATTGTTTACTCTGAGTCATGCTCTTCCTTTTTTGCTTATATTTAGTGTTTTGGATAATGTTTTATGATAGCTTTTCCTGTGATGGTCTCAAACTGTGGTTATCCTGCCTCCTTTTTCTGAATAGATGGGATTACAAGTATGAGCCACTGCATTCACTGTGTGTTACTGTTTTTTGACAAGGGAGTTGGAGATGTTGCAAGTTAGTACAGGGAGCTAGGAACACCTCCTTTGCCTGGTCAGTCACAGATGGTTCCACAGGAAAAATTGCTTATGCTCTTTCTGCCTCCATTTCCTTATCTGGAAACAAAGCAGAAATAACAACAATCTTCTCATGAAGATAAGAGAGTTTTAGCATAAAGCTCTGGGAGCTACCAAGTACTCATGCTAAAGATGTGTTATAGAAATGTTTTTTTTTTTTGGTCTCTGTATGGTATTTTCACAATTAAAAAAAATGTTTTTTTGTTTTATATTTGTTTGCCATATTGCCATTTTCCCCTATTTTTCTTGATATAAGTAAAAGTTTGCGTATCTCCAGAATTCTTTGGTATAATCTTTAATTTTAAAATTCCTGCACATGTTGCACATACACACACACACACACATACATAAATATACACATATACATGGCAACAAATAAATCTCAATTTATATTGCTGTCAAATATTTCCTTTTTTCCCCACAAGAATTTTTTTTTATTGTGAAAATACCAGAGAGAGGGGTTACAATTACACGGGCAAGATAATGAGTACATTTCTTATCAAGCATTGTTGCCTCCTCCTTTGTTTCCCCTTACCGTCCCTTCCCATCTACCCCCACCCACCCCTCTTCCCCCACTCCCACGGCGCAGTTGTAAAGTTCATTTTTGACATAATATCTTGTACACCTCATTGTTGCAATGAGTCCACCTGTATCCCTATTTAAATAATTTGTTTTTTCCCTTCCCCTCCACAAATTATACCAACATCAAATACAGTGAAATCAAGGGTTATACCATGGGGGAGGGACATACAAAGCAACAAAGAAATATCTTATAAATATGTCAGAAACAATAACCAGAAAGAAAAAAAAAAACATTAGAATCATTATCTTGGGGTTCATTTCACTTAACATCATCTTATCTGACCATTGCTGCTTGCCTCAGACATATACTAGTTATTGCAAGTAAGGGAAACCATGGGACCTATGTTTCTTTGGGCCTGGCTTACTTCATTTAATATAATTTTTTTCCAAGTCTTTCCACTTCCTAACAAATGGGGCAATGTCATTCTTTCTGATGGAGGTATAGAATTCCATTGTGTAGATATACCACATTTTCTTGATCCATTACTCTGCTGAGGGGCATCTGGGTTGGTTCCATATCTTAGCTATAGTAAATAATGCTGCAATAAACATAATTATGTTGATAGCTTTAGTATGGTCTTGTTTGTGATCATTTGGGTAAATGTCCAAAAGTGGGATTGTTGGGTCATAGGGGAGCTATTAAGGAACCTCCATGCTACTTTCCAAAGTGGTTGAACAAGTTAACACTCCCAGCAACAATGCAGTAGGGTTCCTTTCTGTCTACATCCCCTCCAGTATCTGTTGTTATTAGAATTCTTGATTATAGCCATTCTAACTGAAGTGAGGTGGTATCTCAATGTTGTTTTGATTTGCATTTCTTTTATGGCTAGAGAGGTTGAGCATTTCTTCATGTGTCTATTGGCCATCCTTCTTTTCTCTTCAGAGAAGTTTCTCTTTAAGTCTTTAGCCCACTTATTTATCAGGCAGTTATTTCTTTGAGGATTTGTTGTTGGGGGATTTAATTTTTTGAGTTCCAGTTATATTTTAGATATGAGACCATGAGACCCTTGTCTGTTGTATGGCTAGTGAAGATCTTCTCCCAGTCCATGGGCTTTCTATTGATCTTGCTAGCTCTGTCCTTTGCCATGCAGAAGCTCTGCAATTTCATGCAATCCCATTTGTCCAACCTTTCTTTGATTCATTGTGTTTCTGAGTCTCTTTTAAGAAAATTTTGGCCTGTGCCAAGGAGACCTAGGATTTCTCCTATTCCATCCTGTAATGTTTTCAGAGTGTCTGCTTTGACTCCGAGGTCTTTGATCCATTTGGAGTTGATTCTGGTGCAGGGTGATATATAAGGATCTAGCTTTAGTTTTCTACATGTAGTTAACCAATTTTGCCAGCACCATTTACTGAAGAGGGTGTCTTTCTTCCATTGTATTGTTTTAGCTCCCTTATCAAAGATTAGATGGCTATAGGTCTGTGGGTTCATTTCTGTGCTTTCAATTCTATTCCATTGGTCGGAGGTCTGTTCTTGTGCCAGTACCAAGCTGTTTTGATTACTATGGCTTTGTAGTATAGTTTGAAATTTGGTATTGATATTCCTCCAGCACTATTGTTTCTGTTAAGGATCTTTTTTGCTATTTGGGGTCTTTTATTGTTCCATATAAATTTTTGAATTGCTTCTTCTATTTCCTTGAAGAATGAGGTTAGAATATTGATAGGTACCGCATTGAATTTGTAGATAGCTTGGGAAATATTGCCATTTTCTCAATGCTGATCCTTCCAATCCAGGAGCATGGGAGGTATTCCCACTTTCTAAGTTCTGTTTTGATTTCCTTTTTCAGGTTTTTAAAGTTTTCATCATAGAGGTCCTTCACTTCTTTGGTTAAGTTAATTCCTAGGTATTTTATTTTTTGTGGTGCTATTATGAATAGAGTTGTTTTCCTGATTTCAGCCACGCTTTTCTCATTGTTGGCATACAGAAAAGCCATTGATTTTTTTTGGGGGGGGGGTGTCCGGTCATGGGGCCTGAACTCTGGGCTTGGGCGCTGTCCCTCAGCTCTTCAGCTCAAGACTAGAGCTCTACCACTTGAGCCACAGTGCCACTTCCAGCTTTTTTATTTTTGCTTATGTGTGCTGAGGAATCGAACCCAGGACCCTGCTACTTTGCCAAAGTTTTTTTTTTTATTGTGAACATACTGTACAGAGGGGTTACAATTACATGGGCAAGATAATGAGTACATTTCTTATCAAGCATTGCAGCCTCCTCCTTTTTTTACCCTTCACATCCCTTCCCAGCCTCCCCCCCATCCCCCCACCCAATCCTCCCCTCCCCCACCAAAGTTGTAAAGTTCATTTTCGACATGACAACTTGTACTTCTCATTGTTGCAACGGGTCCACCTGTATCCTTAAATGACTTGTATTCCCCCTTCTCCTCCACAAATTATACCGACATCAAATATAGTGAAAGCAGGGGTTATACTGTGGGGGAGGGACATACAAAGCAACAAAGAGATAATCTTATAAATGCGTTAGAAACAAATACATGAAAGAAAAGTTTTGAATCAGCTTGAGTAATTTGGAAATGGAATCCGTGGGATTTTTTAAATACAAGATCGTGTCATCTGCAAAGAGGGAGAGTTTTACTTCATCTTTCCCTATTTGGATCCCTTTTATGTTTGCATCTTGTCTTATTGCTGTCACTAGGCATTCTAATACTAGATTGAAGAGAAGTGGAAAGAGTGGACATCCTTGTCTCATTCCTGAGTTTAGAGGAAATGGCTTTAGTTTTTCACCATTAAGGATAATGCTGGCTGTAGGTTTGTCATATACAGCCTTTATTGTATTAAGGAATATTCCCTGGTTTCCTAGTTTTTCCAGAACCTTCATCATAAAGGGGTGTTGGATCTTTTCAAATGCTTTTTCTGCATCTATTGAGATAACCATGTGGTTCTTATCCTTGTTCTTGTTCATGTGTTGAATTATATTAATTGATTTGCATATATTGAACCAGCTTTGCATCCCTGAAATGAATCCTGTTTGATCGTGGTGTATGATTTTTTGGATGAATTGTTGAAGTCAATTGGCCAAAATTTTGTTGAGAAGTTTTGCATCAATGTTCTTCAAATAAATGGGTCTATAGTTCTCTTTCTCTGATGAGTCCCTGCCTGGTTTTGGGATGAAGGTTATGATGCCTTCATAGAATGAGTTTGGTAGGGGCTGGGAAGGTGGCTCAGTGGTAGAGCACTTGCCTTGCATGCATGAGGCCCTGGGTTCGATTCCTCAGCACCACATAAGCAAAAAGAAAAAAGCCAGAAGTGGTGCTGTGGCTCAAGTGGTAGAGCGCTAACCTTGAGCTGAAGAGCTGAGGGACAGCGGCCAGGCCCAGAGTTCAGACCCCACAACTGGACCAAAAAAAAGAATGAGTTTGGTAGTGAACTTTCTCTTTCAATTTCATTGAAGAGTTGGAGGAGTATTGTTGTGAGCTCTGCTTTGAAGGCCTTATAAAATTCCACTGTAAATCCATCTGGTCCTGGGCTTTTCTTAGATGGGAGGTCTCTTATTGCTGTTTCTATTTCAATGCTTGATATGGGCCTGTTAAGATGGTTTAACTCATCTTGATTTAGTTTCAGCATGTCGATATTTGCTAGGAAAAGGTCATTTCTGCCAAGTTCTCAAACTTATTAGTATAAAGTTTTGAGAAGTATTCCCTTATAATGTTCTGAATCTTGGTTGTTTTTGTAGTGATGTTCCCATTCTCGTCTCTGAGTTTATTTATTTGGGTATGTTCTCCTCTTTTTCTGATAAAATTTGCTAAGGGTCTGTCAAATCTGTTAATTTTTTTCCAAGAACCAACTCTTTGTTTTGTTGATTCTTTTCTATGTTTTTTTGGAGTCTAATTCATTTAATTCTGATTTTATTTTAATTATTTCTTTCTGTCTACTCCATTGGGGTTTATCTTGCTGCTCTTTTTGAAGGGGGTTCAGATGTCTCATAAATTGTTGGTTTCAGATCTCTCCAATTTGTTGATGTAAGAACTCAGAGCTATAAAATTCCCTCTGAGTAATGCCTTTGCTGTGTTCCAGAGGAGCTGGTAATTTGTGTGTTCATTTTTGTTGAATATCATGACCATTTGAATTTCCTTTCTAATCTCTTCCATGAGATTAGAGCAGTGTATTGTTCAGCCTCCATGTGTTACAGGACTTTCTTTGGTGGCTTTTGGTGTTGAGTTTTAATTTTATTCCCTTGTGGTCTGAGAGAATGCAAGATATAACTTCAGTGTTTCTGAATTTGGATGTTTGCTTTGTGACCTAAAGTGTGGTGTATTTTGGAAAAATTTCCGTGTGCTGCTGAGAAAAACGTGTATTCTGATGATGCTGGGTGAAATATTTGGTAGATGTCTGTTCAATCTAGTTGATCTATGCAGTTGTTTAGATCTGCGGTTTCTCTGTTGAGTTTTTGCCAAGTTGATCTATGTAGTGGGGATAGTGGTGTGTTGAAGTCCCCAACAATTAATGTCTTTGGATCTATGTGAGATTTGAGGGAAAGTAGTGTTTCTTGGATAAATTTGGGTGCTCCATTGTTTGGTGAATAGATATTTAGAATTGTAATATCATCCTGAAGGAAAGATCCCTTAATTAGTATGTAGCCACCTTCGTTATGTCTTCTCACTAATTTTAATTTGAAGTCTATTTTATCTGATATTAGGATTGCAACTCCCGCCTGTTTATGGGGGCCATTTGCTTGGTAGATTTTGTTCCAGCCTTTCACTTTCAAAATGTGTTTTTGTTTGTTTGTTTTTTTATGGGCAATTTGTGACTCCTGAAGGCAGCAGATAGAAGGATCTTGCTTTTTAATCCAACTAGACAGTCTATGTCGCTTAATTAGGAAGTTAAGTCTGTTAATGTTGAGAGTTAGGACTGGAGTGTTTGGTAGTTCCTTCCATGTTATCCACCTTCTTGGGAATGCGACAACTGGGTTCTTCCTATAGTTCTTGGATTCTCAGTTTGGATGCAGTTTCTTGGCCTTTATTGTTATCTTTTTGGTTTTCTATGTGTAGGACATCTTTAAGTATCTTTTGGAGGGCTGGTTTGGTGGAGATATATTGTTTCAGTTTTTCTTTGCTATGGAAGGTTTTTATTTGACCTTCAGTTATGAAGGAGAGTTTAGCTGGGTACAGTATTCTTGGTTGATAGTTGTTTGTCTTTAGGGCATGACATACATCATTCCAGGCTCTTCTTGCTTTAATTGTCTCTGCTGAGAAATCGGAGGTGATTCTAATTGGTTTCCCTTTATAGGTGATTGATGTTTTCTCCTTGACAGCTTTAAGGATCTTTTCCTTGGTCTGAATTGATCCTGTGCAGATTATAATGTGATGGTGGGATGTCCTGTTCTGGTCTGGTCTATTTGGGGTTCTAAGAACTTCTTGTATCTGAATAGGCCTATCTTTTTGCATGTTTGGGAAGTTCTCTGCTAAGATCCTGTTAAACAAATTTCCTAGCCCATTAAGTTCTGTCTCTGGGTGCTCCTCTATACCCATTATCCTCAGATTAGGCCTTCTGATGGTGTCTTCCAAATGTTGAATATATCTATCATATTTCTTGGATTTGTCTTGGATAGTTGTATGTCCTTTTGTCAAATATTTCAGAAAGAGAAATACCATAAACCAGTAGATTAACAAGTGTGTGTGTGTATACATATATGCATATGTATGCATATATAAGTAATTTTAAGAGAGACATCAGACAGGAGATATTGGCAACAGAGAAAATTAAAAAAAATTAATGTTAATTATTGTAGCTAAATTAAAGTGATCCATTGAACTATTTGGAGCCTTATCTAATGATTAAATAAGAAATATGTTATTGACTATGTCCTTTTCCAGTAAAAGTTTATCTATGCATTTGAAGTGCAAAGAAATATATTTACAATTTAATTTGGACACCAGTTTCTCCAAAATTCTTCATATGCTCATCTTCATTTTGTTAATGTAAATAACTTACTAGACATGTAATATTTTATTATAGACATTAATTTCAGAGGATTACTTACAAACATATTTTCCTCCTTGTGTCTTTTTTTCCAGATATCTGTTGAGGGAAAATCTCAAGCTTTCAGTATGGAAATCCGAACTCTTTTCTATGACATTCTTTGTGCTCTTGTTAACCCAAAGCGCAAGGACACTCGGGGATTCAGCCACTTTGCTGATGTGACTGAGAGTTTTGCCTTTTCTCTGCTGACAGATGTTACCTGTGGCTCTCCTGGGGAAAAGTAAGTATCTTCTATTACATTAGCATTAGCTTCAATGCCTTACTGTGCTGTCTACAAATCCCTGTGCAGTGGACATTAACATAGAGGTGATGTAACTAAGAAGTACATGGTTGGTGCATGGTACCTGTTGTCAAATTAGGCTAACTTTTGGAAGAAAACCTAGCAGCTCCCTCAAGAGAAACCAACTCATTTTTTTGCCACCATATTTTAAAGACAAGGTCCTGATGTCTGTTTTCATTTATTGAGTGAGCAGAGGATACGTTCCCAAGGGAAGGAAGGGAGCCAGTTCCAGTGTTATAGAGAGTTTTGATGTGCTGGACTTGTGCTTTCCCCTGGAAATTATGGTTATTTCTTCTACTTGAAATCACTCTCTAGCACTGAGTTTCAGGCTATTTGTTTTATGACTGGAGTTCCTTGGCAGGAAGCTAGCCCAAGAAGAATGAAAAGTTAAATATAGATTATATTTATTAGTAACCATGGAATTAATCATATAGTTTTATATTCATATTGTTCAGTAGAATGATGTATTAGTTGTATTTATAATATTTGTAGTCCAAAGACTTGAAAATATTTTACTCCTATTCAACAACACAAAAATGACTCATAAATAGTTCAGAGTTAGTCAATCCAGAAGCAAAAACATTGCCAGAGGAAATGAAAGATAAAAGAATAATAATATAAATGGTATTAACTTTACTTCTGATACAGTCCTGACATTGTATTAAATTGAGTAATATGAATTGATGTTTTGTAGATAAAACATTACAATGTTAAAATTTTTATAAGGATTAACTTAATCCTTGATAAAAGTTGTCCATATATTATTTTTGTGAGAGATCATTTTAAGTAGTTATTCAAAGTTACCATTAGTTATTACTTCTATTTACAGTATTGAAGCTGAGCTAGAGACATGACCCAGAACTTGATTAGTTTACACTGAATGTGGCTGATTCTCAGGCCTACTTTACCTCATAGCCCTTGCTAGCTCCCATGCCCAGTTTGGTAAGAAGATTCTGTAGCTTTAGCTTGATAACAAGGCCTTATCTACTTCCCCAGTGGTCCACAATGCCTAGACTTTCATCCCAGATCAATGCTAGGGTGTGACAAGGTGGACATACAGAAACAACATCCCCCTACACTGTACCATTTTTCTTTTATCCTTACCCTGTGAGTCCTAAAGATTGAGAGGGCCTTCCTTCCTTCCTTCCTTCCTTCCTTCCTTCCTTCCTTCCTTCCTTTCTCCCTCTCTCCCTCTCCCCTCCCTCTCACCTCCCTCCTCCCTCCCTCCTTCTTCTTCCTAGTACTAGAGCTTGGACTCAGGGCCTCACACTTAGTAGCCAACTTCTCTAGCTCTCAGATCATACTTTTAGCCCTCATATTTTCTTCATGGGGGAAGGAATATCAAAATCCTACAAGAGTATTTCTTCCTGCAGGAGGCTCTTTACCAGTTCTCATCACTCTTCCTAAGTCTCCCATCAGAAACCAGATTAGCAGTTCCACGCTGGTAACTTCTGTAACTGTTTCTAACACTGTCTCCCAATACCTCTGACATGGATCCTTTGTTTACTACAAGGAAGTTTGCACTAATATCACAGATAGTGCTTGTGTGAGGAAAAGTCTACCATCATTTTCCCTTGAACTATGCCTGACTATGTTGTTCAGTTAAATTACACAATCAACAGTATTTCAGTTCCCCTAATCTTTTTATTTTTCCCCAATTTTGGCAACATCATCAGGATATCAAAGTTTTCTTTCTTTTTAAAAAAATAATTTTTTTATTGTGAAAATACTGTACAGAGGGGTTACAGTTACATGAGCAAGGTAATGACTACGTTTCTTACCCAGCATTGTTGCCTCCTCCTTTGTTTCCCCTTCCCATCTCATCCCTTCCACCTCCTCAACTACACCCCTATCCCCTACCCCTGCCTAAATTGTAAGGTTCATTTTTTTTGATATAGCGTCTTATACATCTCATTGTTGCAATGGGTCCACCTGTATTCCTATTTAAACATTTTGTTTTTTCCCTTCCCCACCCCAAATTATACTAACATCAAATACAGTGAAAACAGGGGTTATGCCATGGGGGAGGGACATACAAAGCAACAAAAAAAAATCATGTGGTACCTTATAAATACATCAGAAACAATAGCAAGGAAGAAAAAACCACTTGTGTCCCTATCTTGGGGTTCATTTCGCTTCACATCATCTTTTCTGACCTTTTCTGCGTGTCCCAGATATATACTAGTTATTGCAAATTGGCTGTGAATGCTGAAGATCATATAGTGCCTTTAAAGGTTTATGAAAGCTTAAATGGGTTTCTGATGCACACCAAGAGTAGTCTTTTCTGTCTTAATGTTTAATGTATTCTCAGAGCCTGGAATACTGTGGCAGAATCTCATTGGTCATAGTATAATGTGTGAATAGAATGACTATAAGTATCCTTTCTGCTCTGTGCAGATATACAGGAAAGAAAACCTCATATCCAATGACAAATTAGTGAATTCAGTTTTCTTAAGAGAATATCAACACAGAATAAGCTAAGAATGTGTGTGTGTGTGCATGTGTGTGTGCATGTGTGTGTGTGTGTGTGTGTGTGTGTGAGAGAGAGAGAGAGAGAGAGATTTCAGGAACATGCTTAAAATAATGTTAAATTTGAAGAATAGATGAAAGCAAGAATAGGATAGGGTTATTACATACAGTGTAATTGTTCTAGTAAGAGAAGATGAAGGCTGAAATTAAACCAGAAACATGGAAAGTGTTACCTTGAAGGCAATTATGTGATAAAAATAAAATGCAGCCCATGTAATTGTAACCCCTCTGTACAGTATTTTCACAATAAAAATAAAATAAAATAAAATCATGAAAAAAATAACATGATCATGACCAATTGAACACAAAGAATAAAATAGCAGTCACAATGGGTTTCTTTTAATCAGGAATCCCTAACGATATTGAGTGCTGTGATATGTATTTATCTATTGTCTTAAGCAATCTCAAGGGCATTTGTTGAAAGTAAAGGGACTTAGAAATGTAAATAGTGATACTGTGGAGGAGAATGGAATGCAGGGCAGTAACTTAGAAGCCAAGTGGTCCCAAGGTTCCAACTGAGGTTGTCCACTGCAGATTTGTAGTGATGCCAATTATTCCATTCACTTGGTCCTCCTTATGTCAGTCTCAGTCTGAAGCAGATTGTGGGGTTGAAGGTGAATATATTTGAAGGCATAGACACAGAAGGTTAAGGTGTCCGGGAGAATCTGGTTATGAGCGAGTGAATTGGCCCACTTGTATAAAGGTTTGTGGAGTCATTGTGCAATGTAGTGTTGGCTTGCCAACTCAGCAGAATACATGGCTGTTTTGACTAGGCGAGTCTCAGTAGCCTGAAGGCAGCAGAACTAAAGGGCTGTGCAGCTAGAGGTTCAATGTCTCAGACGCTTCGTGCAGATTCAGTGGTCTCAGGGCTTCTACACTGACATTCTTAGGCTGAAAATCACCAGTGACAGTATGGAAGGCTAGGTGGAGAGATTATAAATTGAGTTCTTGACAAACTGTTGGGAAGATGTATGCAACAAAACAAATAGAATTACTTTCATAGGAGATTTGATGTTGTTATATTCAATTCTTGAATGAATAGGCAGCTTGATGTAAGTTATTTGATGGGACTGATTAAATTATGATTATTAAAGCTTTGATTATTTATTTTTCAGAGAAGTTACATACCTCAAGTAAAAACCCTTTACTCTTTTCTTTCTTAATTGAGTCTTTCATTTAAAATTCTCTCTTCTGGTTGAGTATGGTGGGATATCCTATAATCCTAGCTATGCAAAGGCTGAGGGAGGAGGACTGTGGTCCAAGGCTGAACTCAGGTATAAACATGAGACTCCCCCCCCCCCATCTGAGGAATAAAGTAAAAGCAAAAGGTGCTGGAGTCTTGGCTCAAGTGGTAGAGTGCTTACCCAGCTGAACAAGGCCCAGATTAAAATTTCAGTACCACAAAATATAAAGCAAACAAAACTCTTCTGCTCGATTTCATACTTTGTATTTCACACTTTCATGCTTTCATACTCTGTATTTGTTTTGATCTATATAATTGTTAACATTGGGTCCATCAATGCCATACAAATATCCTAATATTTTAAGGCACAGGTTTAATTTATTTTTGTATCTTATTGTTTTCAAAGATGTTGACTCTATGAACAGGTTGCAGATTCTCTGGGGAACTGGTTACAAATGTAAATTCCAGAAACTAGCAGCCTCCCCACACTCTATCTTGGATAAAGATTCTGAGTTTATAATTCTGGAGTGTAAACTAGAAATCTATTTTAAACCGAGTCCACATGATTTGAACACACATTGAGGTTTTAAAGCGATTTCACGGAGCACAGTGTCTTATTTTTCCCTAGGAGATTGAAAACAGAATTTCTAAATGAATAAAAACCATAGGTTTTTCTTACCAGTCAAATAATTACATTTTCCGTGCTCACGTGAGTTAAACATGAGATGCCTGTAGATGAAAATATGGTGCCAAATCTATAAGGTTTGTGAAGTTCTTAAGTAAAACAGAGGGCTTCTGTTTAATGGGCCATGCTTTCCTTTGCCTGTTTCCCCAATGCTGATGTGACTAACACAGAAAAGTCCATTTTACTGACACAAATTGTGTCTTGATATCCGTGAAACAGCTTCTAAAAACTCATGTTTTAGGTTACAAGGCAGATCAAACAAAATGTTATACTAGTTACTTTAGCAAGAGCTGAGAGCTGATTGCTTCCAGTGGTTCTGGATTATTAGTGTCCTTTTTATACAGGAAGAAGAGTGTCCCAGTGTAAAGATATGAAAATATGAAAATGTGTAAATGCACCTCACTTGAGCAGACTTCATCTCTCTTTTATAGAAGCAAAACCATCCTTAACAGTTGTCCCTATTTGTCAATACTGGCGCTTCACTGGTATCCTCAGCAAATTAATGGGCACAAGTTTGAAGGAAAGGAAGGTGATTACATTCGGCTTCCAGAAAGGTTATTGGATGTGGCAGATACAGATATAATGGCCGGGAAAAGTACATGTAAATTCATCCAGTTTATGGAATACAGCAGCCAGCAGTGGTTTGTAACTGAAAACAACCTTCCTGCTCTGAAAAATAAGGTATTCTCTCATTTAAAAGCTTGTGTGATTGTAATTGTGTGATTGTAATTTTCCTTTCTTAGCTGATACACGCAGGATGCATTTATTCAATCAGATTTTTGCTGCACAGAGAGAAATAACATGAAAAATGGTGAAAGATCGTGAACCATGTTCCAAAGTTATAAGCCATTCATAGAATGCTTGGTTTCAAAAATAGTTGGGAATGTTTCCTTCACCTTTGATTGAATAAAATATCTATATGGATGAAGTGAAAAGTAGAACTTCCCTAATACAATGTCTTCTCATGTGCTTTGCTGTTGATGTAGTCAGCCAGTTAGAGTATTGCCAGCTGAAAATAAATATGAGGTGAAGGTCAAATGTGCACACTGGGAAACCAAACAGAAGACCTGGACTCATAACTGAACTAGTTATCAACACTGGAAAGGAACAAGTGACTTCAGTTATTAGAAAAATGAAGTCCAGTTCAGAGTGGGAAGTACTCAGTCAGAATACTGATGGGAAAATGTCATTAATGTTTTTGTTCCTTTTGGCATTGTAGGTGCTCTCTGTGAATGTGAAAGGTCAGAGTTCACCACTCCTGTCTAACAACAATGAGGTTCGGTATAGGATTTATGCTGCTGAGCAGAGGCTTATTCCTGAGACGGCTCTCTGCCTCCTTTGGAATAGGGCTGCTGCAAGGTATTTACTGAAAATTTTTTTATACACTTTTTATTGTAAAAATACTGTACAGAGGAGCTACAATTACATGAGTAAGGTAATGAGTACATTTCCTATTGAGCGTTATTACCTCCTCCTTTGTTTTTCCCCTACCATCCCTTCTCTTCTCATGAACCTAATTTTGTTTTTTGTTTTTTGGGTCCGGTCGTGGGATCTGAACTCTGGGCCTGGGCGCTGTCCCTCAGCTCTTTCAGCTCGAGGCTAGCGCTCTACCACTTGAGCCACAACACCACTTCAGGCTCTTTTCTTTTTGCTTATGTGGTGCTGAGGAATCGAACCCAAGGCCTCAGGCATGCAAGGCAAGCGCTCTACCACTGAGCCACCTTCCCAGCCCCCTAGTTTTTTTTTATACTGAGCATCAATGGTAGTCTCAGATGCTGCTTCAAACTGATGCATAATCCCTACCATAAATGAGATCAAACAGCGTAAGAAATGGTCTAGTGTTGTTCAGATGGGAAATGTAGCCTAGCGATGTAAATATGTGTGTAGCACATTACAATTCTTTTCATGGACTATAACATGAAATCAACTCGAGACAGTTAACTTTTTGATTTTTTTAGTCAATTTGTTGGACAAGAATGGAAATTCCTTTTTTTGTATTGCTGACATCTTGCTTGATGATTCAGGAGGTGGTGCTTTATGCTTAGAGGAATCAACAGGATTTAGAAATCATGTCCACAAGATCCTGGGGTACATTTGAGGGTTAAACCAAGAGATAGGCTCAGGGGGAAGAGATTACTCTTTTTTTTGAGTCTTGTTGGCCTGCAGACTCAAATCTCTGAGCCATTACTGTTGCGCAAAGCTCAGGTGATGCTGCAGGGAATGGTAGTACTGACTGAGAGGGTTGAAGACCCAGTCATTAGATTCTATTTATTACTAAGGTTAAGCTATATGAACTAAATTTAAAAAATAGATTCCTAATTAGGAAACTGTCTTCTAAAACATGAAAAGTCTGGTTAGTATCTTTCTCTGTGGAAACAACAAGAAAAAAGAACTATTTTGAAATGAAACTCCCAATATTGGCAATGGTATGATGACTGACCATTGCTGCTTGTCAGCTAAATGATTAAAAGAGTAAAGAACAGAGACTCTACCATGTATTTTGTTAATGAAGCAATACTTTTCAGGACGTAAGAGGTAGCAACTACATTTTCACCTTCTAATATTTTCAATTTCTGATGGGTTCATCAAGATCTAGCCTCATCATAAATCAAAGACCATCAACACATACAAAAATGATCTGTAATCCTCAATATATAAGTAGCAATAAAAAATTTCAAGCTTAAATCTGCAGTGTGGGTCAGGAAATTGTCCTTAGAAGAGCAATGGAATCCAGATTCACCAAAAGGGAAGAGGCTAAAGCAATAATCCCTGAGAAATACAAAGTGAGTCAGACTTCATTCAGAGAAGGAAACACCTGAGGGACCTGGGAAACCATGTGACACAAATGGTTCTAAAAGAAAAGGATGAGGAAGGAAGCAGAGGAAAGTGTAGAAGTAATTTATATGGTTGGGAATACAAAAGTGTCTATACACATGAGGAAGATGGAAATAATACATTTTGTATCTGTGTCAATCTGTTGGGGTTTGGGTGAGTTGCCTAGAGCATAGCGGGGGATAGACACAGCTATGTGGAGAGGGCTGACTTCTTTGTTACAGGGAGCGCTCTGGCTTTGGTAGGTGCGCTGGTATTTATAAGGCTTCCTAAGGTGTCTTTCTGGAATCTGTTGGGTTATATCCTGGACAAAATGTTCCCTCCAGAGTTCCTTCTTGAAAATGTGGCCTGCGTAAGTCTTGAGCAAAGAACATTTAAGTTTAGCAAGTTATTTTTTCTCTGTAGATGCAATCTCAACTTGTGAAGGATGAATGAAAGAGGAGGATGACTCTTGTGTTTTTCTCTAGCTGGTTGTCTGACAGTCAGCTTTGCAGAGTGGTGGAGGATGCTTCCGACCATGTGGAATGTGCCTGTTCTCACATGTCCCTGTATGCCGTCTACTCCCAGACTGACAACTTGTCTTCGTACAATGAAGCCTTTTTCTCCTCTGGATTTATATGCATCTCAGGTCAGTGACAGCATTTTGACTCAATAATTTTAAAATGTTTATAAGAATAAAAGTCTGTTTCTCAGAGTTATTTCCTATGTGCATGATATAATCATATCACTTTCTTGTCATCTTATCCATTAATCCATACTACAGGTACTGATGTTTAGGATACAGCAGAATGTTACTATATAGTAAGAACAAGATATAGTTTTAACTCTCTAGGAGAATACAATGAAGTGGGGAACAGAGGCCAGATAGGAAATATAGCAGTTTATGATGGTATGTTTTATTAGATTCTACAGTTTAACCATCAGGATTTTGTGAGGCAATGCACACAAATCATTGTGTATTTTCAATGAAAATAACCTGACCTATGGGTTGATTTGAATTTTACACACAAGGAGGTATAGATATGCCAACCATTATATATCAAAAAATAAATCATGTTCTTATTCCATATTTAGGCCCCATTTCTATCAGTAGAAGGAAATTTAATTATACTTATGTCTTGATAACTATTTTTACCAATAATTGTAGATGATAGCATTATTTTCACTTCCTGTATTTACACATTTGGAAGTTTAAGAAATCTTTACACTGTGTTTTTTATCTTCTCTCCTCCACCATGCCTCAATATATGTTTTATGGCTCCCTGTTTCTGTGAACAGTGTGCTCTTCACACAGAACTGGGTATATATAGGGTAATAGTTACAAACACAAATCCAGACTGCCTTGGTTCAAATATCGGTGTTGTCTTTAGCCAATTCTAGGACCTGGAATAAAGGGTTTAGCTTAGTATTTCCATACTCAATATATAACTTTACATCATATCTATACAACAATGGGTTAACTATATCAACTCACACATCTATCGTTTTCTTCTTTATGTTTTACTAGTAAATGTGATTATCATGTAATGTGTATTTTTAAATTTATTGTACAAAGAACCGCCTTAATAATATTTATCTATTAGGAAGTTGTTTGAGATAAAAATCAAATAATTATTGTTTTTTATTATGGTTATTAAAATAGTTATTAATATAGTTAACATAATTTTATAGTTATATATTTTCATTTATATCTCTTAATTCCAAATTTAACTTGGTTTCAGTGGCAAAGCCAAGAATTTCTTTTTTGGGGGGTGGGGTCCTGTCGTGGGGACTAAACTCTGGGCCTGGGCACTGTCCCTCAGCTTTTCAGCTAAAGGCGAGCACTCTACCACTTGATCCATAGCGCCACTTCCAGCTTTTTATTTCTTTTTGCTTATGTGGTGCTGGGGAATTGAACCCAGAACCTCAGGCATGCAAGGCAAGTGCTCTACCACTGAGCCACCTTCCAGGCCCCAAATAATTTCTTATTCTGAAGAGTTTCATTAAAAAGCTAATAGCTGATTTGATAATGAAATGATGATAATTTGATTTTATTTGGATTTGTCTATTCAGGAGGCAGATATAGCTATATAGAAAGATTGATTAATAGGTACCAGATTCACTATTCAGAAATATTCATAAATATTTCAAAAATTTGTGAGAAAATACACTGTCTTAATGAAGAATGTTGCTAAGAACATTAAACACAAACTATAATCTAGACTATAAAGGCTCATCTGTTCTTGGAAAAAATATTGAATATACTTAAGGTTTAAAAAATAAATACTACCATATCCGTCTCTATTAACTAACAGATAACTATGACACATTATAGTTAAATGCTAAGAAAATCTAGCACATTTTCCTGCCTCTGGTTTGAATCCTGGGCTACCACCAGGTGTCATGGTAGCATTTTTATTGAAGTTTCACGTGCTTAATTAAATATTTCCGAGCTAGTTACATTTACTTGCACTAAATTTGCATCATGCAATAGGAGTGAAATGGGGGCTGACCAAGTTAGGGGAAAAGGCTATTAATAAACGCTTATGAAATAAAAAGAATAATTACAATACTTTTGGGTCATCCTGTAACAATAAGATGTACAAGACACTATGTTGAAAGAGAACTTTACAACTTTCGGGTGGGGGGAGGGAAGAGTTAGGGAGATGGGGAGGAAAGGGATAGAATGGGAAAAACAAAGGAGGAGGTAATATATATATATATATGTATATATATATTTAAAAAAACAACAATGCTTTTTGCCCTATGCCAACACTAATGCTTTTGTTTTACACTGTTATCATCTACCATGATTGGCTTCATAATAAAACACATATTTGTGATCGTGTGATTTATGATTAAAACCTTGTACGGTACTGCTTTTAAGTCAATATCTCTCTCTTTCACACACACACACACACACACACACACACACACACACACACACACACACACACACACACACCATGAATTTTAGTGAGTTGTGACCATCCTATGGAACTGAACATGTTAGTGAGTTTTGCACAACAGCTCCAGTAGTATAGTTATTACCTAAGTAAAGTTGCAGAGCTAGGCTTCACTTACTGTCTAAAGACAAATTGTGCATCTGTGTGGGTAGGTTTTGGAAGCAACCCAAAAATCGCACAACTGTCCCAGAACACATGATGCCATTTCTGGAATAAGATAGATTGCCCCAGGTTTTTTTGAGCAAATATCCAAATTAGAGGCCTTGAAAAATGCAGAGTTTTGCTTCCTGGGGATCTTAGCCTACCTTATTAAAATACAAAAGTTGAACTGAAATATTTTTCCCCAGAGGATTTTGAGAAACATTTCTAAGCTGAAAATGAGTCATAAGACCGTATGTGGGCATTGTGCAGATGTGCATTCAATTTATGTTCATGGGTGGTATTCGCCAACAGCCTGTTTCATATTTCCTAAAGATGATAGAAGAAAACACAATGTCAAGTGAGCACAATGTTTCCTGTTTATCAAGGAATTATGGACACAACTGCATAGCGTGATGCAAAGTAGATGACAATGCGGTGTTCCTATGTCGGTTGATGAATGCCTCAGTGATTCTTGGATAAAATAATCCTATTGAAGACATGAAGGCAAAGGGGGCTATCATATGCAGCACATAATGACATAAATATTCTTAAAGTGGTCTGACTTTAAAATCTGGTATTAAAAGAAATTTATGTGATAATCCGTAAACACGAGGTTTTTGTCCATCCTCTTGAAATAGTATAAACAAGTAAATTCAAATAGATTTAAAGGTAATTACAAAAAATGAAGAAAATTACAATAATCTTCTTTATGACATATAGAAATTGAAATCTTTAAATTTATTGTTCAGGGGAAAACAAAAACATCCTCTTATTCTTTTTGTGGCTTCAGGTTGAATAAAACTTCATAATTGGAACTGTTGTAGTTATGGTGCTCTTGCTAGTAGTTTCTTTTCTAAAAAATAGGTGGGAGGCACCGCCAAATCTGAATATTGGTAGTCGCATTCATACTTTTATCCCTAGAAAAGCTTATTCCTTCCTGAGTATTTTTATGATGTCAGGCCATTGTTGGTGAAATTAGATTATAAAGGCATAGTAGATTTTTTTTCTTAAATAGAAAAATTGGATGAATATGAACTAAGAAAATCGATGATTTACCAATATTATTCATCTGCTTCTTTGGGGATTTCTTTTCAGTAAGGAAGTAAAGGTAGGTATTTGAAAAATTAAAGCTATTCTTTGGGTGTAATTGATAGGTGTGCAGATTTTATGAGTCATATGAAATAGAATGGACAGAAATGGTACAGTAATCTTTTCCAGGACTTCTGTGGTGTACGGCCTAGATGAGCCTCTGTGCTTATGTGTCCCAAAAACTCCTACTGTGCACTATTTGTCTCTATGGATTATGAAACCACACATAGACTCTTTTGTTTCTTCAGGTCTTTGCTTGGCTGTTCTTTCCCACGTCTTCTGTGCCAGGTGCTCCATGTTTGCAGCTAAGCTTCTGACTCACATGATGGCGGCCAGCTTGGGTACACAGGTAGGAGAACTTGGGAATTCCCTACTTGTCCTGAAATGTTCATGCTTCCTCTTCTATAATCCTTGAGCTCAATGTCCAGGTAAAGTGCACTTCAACTGAGTTGAAATAAGCTTGTTTAGTTTTGCAATGAAGAGGGTGAGTCTAGTAGCATAAAGGAATGTGAATATTAGATCGAAAACATATTTTGAGAACTCTTTTCTCTGGAGAAATACTTTAATGATTACTGCTTACGAGAAAATAACTTCATCCTAGTGCATTCTATTGTCATCTAACTTATGCTAATAATGTTACATGTGGTCAAATAAAATATGCTAGAATTGCTTTATAGGATGGGCATTAAGATGATGTATACCATGGCTGGGGGAAATCTCAATAATAGAGTATAAGTCGTGCTCTGGGTTTAATCTTTACATCCAGAAAAAGAAAACAAACAAAAATAGATAGGCACACTGAAACATCTGAGTACATGCATTGTTTAACATATACATTTTGGAAAGCATTCTCTTTTGGAATATTGTGCACTTGTTTAGGGCAGAAGCAATGGTATGAAAAAAATCAAATTATTCATTGGCATGCAATTTAAAGCACACAGTGAAAACTAAGGTACAGCATTCAGATCACCAAAAGAACTCATCTCTTTCCAGTGTTCACAGCCTAGTGAAGAAGTTATAAATGAAAAATCCTGTCATTCATAGGGGATCATGTACTATTTGAGAACTATCCTGAATATAGCAGATAAGAACTTGGTTCATTTTTTTTAATAAAGTTTGAGAAAGTGTCTACAGAAGAGTGGTGTGTGTGTGCTAGGACAGAACTGAGAAAACCTTCCCACCGCTCACTGAGATGGGGAAAGAAGAACACAGATATTGTATAAGAAAAGAGGAAAAAAGCATAAACATTTCCATTATAAAATTGAAATTATAGATTGCGTTATAAAATATGTTAAATCGTGTTTGCTGTGTTCTTTTTGAAAAGAATTAGCTATTATTTTTTAAAAATTGTGAATTCTCTTTTCTGGATGGGGGTCACATCTGGAGGACAGACAATGCTTTATCTCTTTATTTGGCACTGGTTACCTGTGTGTATTCACTTGGAGTAGGTGCAGTGTCTTGTGCACTTATCTGAACACACTGTCCTTTAAATGCTAACGCATATTGCATTGATCTCTCAGGAGAACTTTTAACAATGACATCAGTGGAGGGGATAAAATGGAAAATGATCCTGAACATTGGCATTTGGTTGCTTTTTTTTGTCCCAAGAATGAAAATGAACTGTAAATGTCACAAGTTTATTTTTTTCAGAGAATAATCCAGGACTAGATTCCAAGTAGAGGCTCCCAGATTGTGCTTTGAAAGGACCTAGAAACTGAACTATGGATAGTAGCAGTTGTTGCCAAAAGAGGGCTTGCACTGAATTTGAAAGGACTTTTTATGTGACTTCCATATCCTGTCTTAGCCCTCTGATCTTGCATTTGCTTCTTGTATGTGAGATCTTAAGAACCAGCCTTTCATAATTAGAGTGTATTTGACTGTATTCACCACCCATTTTGGTAATTGTTCGAGAGCACTATTTGTATATGACTTAATTACAGTACTGCAGAATTGCACACAGTTCTTTGGCATCCTAGCACACACATTTGCTAATGTCTAGGGATGTGAAAGAAATAGAATTTATAGGTCGAGTCATTCCTTTTGGTTCACATTGTATTCAACATCGATTTTGCACAAAATGATTAGTTAAATGCACCAAAAATTTCAGCATATTTTTAGAACACAAAACATTGAGACATGGAAAAGTCATATACTATATACTTTGTGATGTGAAATTAAAATATTTTTATAGCTTAGCGAAGGAAATTAGAATGTTGTTGATGGACAGTACTGTTTTTTAAAATGGTCTACCTATCTACTTGGAATTTTAAGACATCCTCTTTGTTAAAAATCTTTAGCAAAGGCTTTAACATTCTTAGGCCCTCCAAAATTAGAAATAAAGCTGACTATAGGAACTCAGGCTCCCCACTCCTTAGTTTTAAAGAATTTATAACTATAGTTACCATATGTTGCTGATGGAAATCATCACAGATCTGATCTTGATCTCTTATCTGGGATCTTCCATCAACATTATGTTGATATTATTAGAAGTTAAATGTTCTCAAGAGTACTCTTCAGAAATATAGATCATTCTGAGTGAGGTAAACCAAGAGAGAAGAGGCAAACGGCACGTGGTCTCCCTGATAGGTGGATGCTAAAGCAAAAAATGCAAGGAGATATGACAAAGTAAACAGTACTTGAGAAACAAAGGATAGCCACTCATTTTGTTGTATCATTGCTAAATGACTCCATGTTCTTGATCATATATATGGTGTGTGTGTGTGTGTGTGTGTGTGTGTGTGTGTGTGTGTGTGTGTGTATACATGCAATGGAGGAAAGCTGGGAGGGAGATGCAGAATAAGTGGGAAATGGAACAACAAACAGCAAAGGGTCCCATCAGCTGTACTGGACATAGATGAAAATGAACTAAGCAACCCAAAAAGAGCAATGAGAAGGGGGGAATAAGAGGGAAAGGGGAACAACTTACACTAAAGCAAAAGGAAAGAAATGTAACTATCACCTGATGTGGAAGAAATAATTGTATTGTCAAAGCCCATAGAATTCACAAACCTTATAGACCATGATAATGACAATTTGCTTTGTGAAGGTTAAAATGTGTTTGTGACTTTAACTAAGTATCACCATTCCACAACACTGTGAAATATGTGAAATTTATGTAATCACCTAATTTAAAAGAAGAGTGAGAGAAGGGATGGGTTAGGAGCGATGGGTGACAATGTTGTCAGACACCTTGTATTCATATACTGTTTTGTCAGACATCTTGTATTCATATACTGTTTGTTTTGTCAGACATCTTGTACTCATATACTGTTTTGTAGAATGGGAACTTCTTTGTACCACTTCTTAAAGGTAGTAATAATCAAAATACAGATTTGACAGTAGTTCTTTTTATTTTTGCCTTTATCTCAGGGCCTAGGCACTGTCCTGAGCTTCTTGATGCTCAAGGCTAATACTCTACCACCTGAGCATAGTGCCACTTCTGGCTTTTTCTGTGTATGTGGTACTGAGGAATTAAACCCAGGGCTTCATGCATGCTAGGTAAGCACTCTACCATGAGCCACCTTCCCAGCCCCAGTAGTTCATTTTATTTAACATTTAATTTTGTTGTTATTATTAAGGTAGTATGTAGAGGGGCTATCATTTCATGAGTCACGTAATGAGAGCATGCATTTCTTTTTTTTTATTAAAAAGGTTGTTTTTTATTGTGGAAATACCATACAGAGGGCTTACAATTACATGAGCAAGGTAATGAGTACATTTCTTATCAAGCATTGTTGCCTCCTCCTTTGTTTCCCCTTCCCATCCCTTCCCATCTCCACCCTCTTCCTTGCCCCCCACCCCATGTTTTTTGGCATAATGTCTAATACATCTCATTATTGCAATGGGTCCACCTATATCCCTATTCAAACAATTTTGTTTTTTCCCTTCACCTCCCCAAATTATACCAACATCAAATACAGTGAAAACAGGGGTTATACCATGGGGGAGGGACATACAAAGCAACAAAAAATCACCTTATAAATATGTTAGAAACAATAGCAAGAAAGAAAAACCATTTGAGTTCTTATTTTGGGGTTCATTTCGCCTAACATCAACTTGTCTGACCGTTTCTGCTTGTCTCAGACATATACTAGTTGTTGCAAATAAGGGGAACCATGGGACCTATGTTTCTTTGGGTCTGGCTTACTTCACTTAATATAATTTTTCTTTTCTTTTCTTTCTTTCTTTCCTTTCTTCCTTCCTTCTTTCTTTCTCTCTCTTCCTTTCTTTCTTTCTCTCTCTTCTTTTCTTTCTTTCTCTCTTTTTTTAAATTTTGTTGTTTGATTTTATTTATTTATTATTGTGAAAATACTATACAGAGGAGTTACAATTACATGGACAAGATAATGAGTACATTTCTTATCAAGCATTGTAGCCTCCTCCTTTGTTTCCCCTTCCCATCCTCCCCCCCCCCAATCTTCCCCCCCCCAAAGTTGTAAAGTTTGTTTTCGATATAACAACTTGTACTTCTCATTGTTGCAACAGGCCCACCTGTATCCTTATTTAAACGACTTGTTCTTCCCCTTCCCCTCCACAAATTATACCGACATCAAATACAGTGAAAGCAGGGGTTATACTGTGGGGGAGGGACATACAAAGCAACAAAGAAATAATCTTATAAATGCGTTAGAAACAATCACATGAAAGAAAAAAAATTTGAATACATATCTTAGGGTTCATTTTCCTAACATCATCTTATCTGACCTTTTCTGCTTGACTCAGACATTCACTGGTTATTGCAAATAAGGGAAACCATGGGACCTGTGTTTCTTTGGGCCTGGCTTACTTCACTTAATATAATTTTTTCCAAGTCTTTCCATTTCCTAGCAAATGGGGCAATGTCATTCTTTCTGATGGAGGCATAGAATTCCATTGTGTAGATATACCACATTTTCTTGATCCATTCATCTATTGAGGGGCATCTGGGTTGGTTCCATATCTTAGCTATAGTAAATAGTGCTGCAATAAACATAGTCGTGCTGGTAGCTTTAGGGTGGTCTTGTTTGTAAACATTGGGTAAATGCCCAAAAGTGGGATTGCTGCGTCATAGGGGAGCTCTATGTGGAGTCTTTTGAGGAACCTCCATACTACTTTCCAAAGTGGTTGAACAAGTTTACACTCCAAAGAAACAACTGCCCAATAAATAAGTGGGCTAAAGACTTAAAGAGAAACTTCTCTGAAGAAAAAAGAAGGATGGCCAATAGACACATGAAGAAATGCTCAACCTCCCTAGCCATAAAAGAAATGCAAATCAAAACAACATTGAGATACCACCTCACCCCAGTTAGAATGGCAAAAATCAAGAACTCTAGTAACAACAGATGCTGGAGGGGATGTGGACAGAAAGGA